TAATAATAATAATAATAATAATAATAATAATAATAATAATAATAATAATAATAATAATAATAATAATAATAATAATAATAATAATAATAATAATAATAATAATAATAATAATAATAATAATAATAATAATAATAATAATAATAATAATAATAATAATAATAATAATAATAATAATAATAAAACGATAGAATTAATTAATTAATAATAAATAATAAATAACAAATATAACAATAAATAATTAAAATACGTGCCCGCTGAAAGACTATTCGCTTTGTGAACAAGTTCTGTAAATAATCGAAAACTTTTCATAGCAAAGTCAAACTTACTTGAGTTTTCAAATTCCCCACTAGAGTTTAAAGCCTTCTATTAATTAAAAGAGAAATTAAAGCCTTAATGAATTAACATTTAAATAGGGAATTAACATTTAAAAGAAGTCAAAATCGTGGCAAAAATAAACTACATAATAATGGAAAAGAAAACGTACAAATACTGAGAGCCTGTACATAGAAATTTTTTGGAAAGAAATTGAAACTTGAAGCCAATTCAAACAATGAAAGCTTTCTCATGTATCGGACTTGGTTTCACTGAAATTGAAATAATATGCCAAAAATAATTTGAAGAGATTTGAAAGAAATGAAAAATGAAATATTAAGTCAGATACGTGGAAAACTTTTCCATCACATCTATATCACTAAATAATTCACACCACAAATTACCAAATTTCATGGATAATAGTATATGAGGAAGTTGAAAATTAGAAAATTCACAGTGCTAGACTAGAGGATTCCAATAATTTAATAAATTTAAAGGAAACGGCATTAAATCGTTGGAAATTAGTAGGCGGTGAGCAATTAACACATCATTAAGCGATCCACTGCTTCAGTTTCCTCTTTACTTAGTGCTTGCACTCGCGATACCATTACTCGCACTTGTTTCGTTAATTCCAAAATATTACGATTAAGTGTTTGAAGACGTCGAGAATATTCATGCATTTTATTCAGCTGCAACGCAGAACAGCTTATTGTCAATTTTTTTGCTCTTAAACAGATTTCAGGTGTAAATAGAACTTCTCTTAAGAAATCTCCAATGACGAAAGGTGTTCTATTCTGTACCTGTGCTCTTTCCATACACTAATTCCCGTCGTTTTAACCGTTATTTTTCTGGACTCTTATGCTAAAAAAGAATTACCGCATTATTAATTTTTGTCGTAAGTTGTTCTGAATAATACGTATCCACTTCTTCAAGACGTGCAATAAGTCCATTTTGGAAATTTCTGTTGCAAAATGAAGTGATTAACTTCAATAAAAAAGTTGAATAGAAATTTGTAAACCATTTAAGAGATGGAAATAACTGAATTCGAAGAACATATGAACCCAACATGAATAACATCTCTTTACAATATAAAAAATATAACATTTATTATCAACAGTCAGTAACTTGTATTGTAACTGTATTAGAGAGCGCCTCTATCTTAATTTACGGCAAAACTTTTTTCCCACTTTTTTTCGGCAGCAACTTCCTGCATCAAACATTATGTGTATGAAACAAGACATTCTAATTTCTTTCCACGTATATCATTTTACTAAAGAAACATCGCTGAAAATATGTTATTAGCAAACGCAATTGATGAACAGTGTCCAAGGTGGCAGAATAATATCTCAACATAAGCCTTTATCAATGATAAATTCTAAAACGTAACTGAAAAAATCCATACCCCTTCAATTGTTCCGACGTTCAATGGATAGGGGTTACTTGAATGTATATATTAACAGAGATGGTTAACTTAAAGTGCAAAAAAAGATAGGACGTACATCAGCTCGGTGAGAAGCACCATAACCATATTTTGATGCGGTAGATCAGCGACTAGTGATAAGTCCAAATTTGCACCCATTTTACAAAATCCCAGTCAAGTGAAGCTTTCTGCAAAATGTTAAATAGATAGCAGTTTTTTTTTCCTTTCAGAAACAGTGTTGTAAGAGCTGCTGAACGGAGTTACACTGATCTTTATAATCAATCAGATTAATTTCATTACTAGTTGAGCTTCGATCGCAGTTTTTACAGTCTGAAATTACAATCAATCCTAACCAATTCACCTCAACCTGTTCGCCAGTTTTCACTTATTTCACTTCAATTACGGAGAATGCAATTTTTTTTTTGTCGGGTTAAACGTGTTTTACGAAACACAATGAGGGGATGCCATACTAAACAGATGACGAGGGGAGAAACGAAATCAGAACTAAGCAGAAATGGTGGAAATAATGTCGTGCAGATTACGACAGCGTGTCGATATAACAACACAAGTACATTTATCATTTCTTTTCCTAATAAGCAAGACTTGCAATCAAAAGTACCTATTCTTAAAACCATTACTGTGTTCTTAGCAGTCCTTATCAGCTGATCTACTTAACAAATACAGCAAAATCTTCTGGAAATATCTGCAAAATTTGAAATCATTGGTACCTTTTAATTGGTACTTTTCTGTAAAAGTTCAATTCCCACTCTCTCAGGGCACGGTAGTGCTGCAAATAACTTTCAGAAATAAACCAAATTTCCATTTAAAATTTATGACCAAATACTGATGCGACCAAGGACATGTACTGAATTAAATTTTAAAACTGTATTTGAAAAAGTATATGCTTCATAATACAAAATTGATTAAGTAGCAACAAATTGAGTAATTAAAAAACGATAAAGCACAATACAAAAAATAACTGAGAAAAACTTTGTCGAAAACTTCTAAAAGAAAAATATAAAATGAATAAACAACGCTTGCAATAAACGTGTACAAGTAAGGCTGAATCATTTTTAGTGTTTACACAGATTCGAAAAAAATAGGCATATCTTGATGATAAAATACAAGGCATTTGTAGCACCGACTATACACACTGAAAATGAAAAAACATGTCATTATCAAGGCATTCGTAACCCAACCAGATCCATAAGATATCGAACGTGTCAAACAAATTAATGGACTTATATGAAGCATAATGAAGGTTGGCATAAGTAAATGACTTTCGGATAATGACGAGTCTATTCAGGAAAACACACAAAGTTCAAAATTTTCGAACCACTTTGTGTAAAATAAGGAAAAGAAAAAATAACCTTAAATATTCCATTCAAACTGCTTCCCTTTGTTTTCGTAGCCGTCCTCTATCAATGAATCATCATCCGATCGAGAGAAACAAACTCTACTATAAACTAACCAAAAACAAATTAATTTATGGAAGAAAAAGAAATCAGCAGCAATAAATTTATAAAAAAAATATGAAGCAGAGACGACCCCCGAAAACCTGAAAATCGCTTATGACGACAAAACCGAAAGCTTTCAAATGATAACTGAAAAGAATAAGTGCAAAAATGAAATTAAGTACACTTAACGAGCTGTAAATGTGATAGAAGTGCAAAAATTTATGTACAAATGACTGAAGAAATAAACATCGTCCACTTCAGATAAATATACGCTCATAATGCACAATCAGAATTAGACAAGGCAAAAACAAAAAAGGCAGGTAAATTCCAGAAAAAGAAAAAACTGAAGAAATATCTGAATGCAGACAGAGAAAAAAGTTACCTACTGTATGTAAAACAGGTCTTCCAATTTGTAAAGTAGCAACGACGAATAGCTCTGCTTACTCATCAGATTTACCCCCTTTCTTATTAGTTAACATCGTGGTTCAGACAGTGAAAAACAAATCAGAATCACCCCAGAAACATATTTTATTTATTTCTCGAGAGACATGAGCAAACCAAGAAGAGATTGTGTTTGTAATAGCTAAGCTCTAAAACAATGCAAATTATGTCAGTCAATGTTACTGGAGAATGGAAAATAATTCCCAGTTTTGGATCACTACCTACTTACTGACTGAAGTCAGTTACTAGAACTAAATGTATTTGAAATTTATAAAAAATAATACTTATATGAAACTATGCGATCGTATATCAATCAAGGGCACCGAAATGACGAGAGATTGATGCTTCCGATTAAGCTAGGCTGCCGTGATTGGCAGCACTTCAATCTCAGTTTCCAAAGATGAATATTGAAAAAGATCGCCATTACATTTTTTAGGTCACAAAAATATGCATTTGATTCAGTAGCTCTTAAGAAAACAGACTGAATTACTAGCATTTATCACTCATTTCCTCATCCTCTTTTAGAGATTCCAACAAATTGAAGTTACCTAACAAATTCTGATCTTCACTATTTTCCACAGAAGTTGGTGAATCTAGTGGTGGTACAGCCAGTGCATTCCTTTCCGTTTTAGTGGGCAACGAATTTAAGAGGGTTTCCATCCAGGCAGCTGCTTCGCTTTCGCTGTTAGAAATGGTCCTATAATTAGAAACTGGGCTCAAACAACTTTCGAAAAAACTTTTTTTTTTTTCAAAGACAGTTACGAAACACAACACGAAGATGCCAGATGTTAAATCATTCCTGTATCTATTAGAACGTTCATAAACTGCATAAAGATAAGCTAGCTTGGCAAAAAATGTTAGTACTTCAGTATCTTATGGGTCCTTTTACTAGTTTTTTATTTAATGTTACAAATCTTGAAGAAAAAAAATCTTGCAGTTCGCATCAAATCACCGAATTTATAAAACACCATGCCAATGACCTATTTTTCGCAAACTTACTTTACATGACTCCTTAAATGTGTCTTGACGTTATCTTTCCGAGCTATACACCGTCCACACACAGGACATGAATACCGTTTTTCACCAGTATGAATCAGTTGATGTCGGCGAAATGTAGATGAATCCGCAAAACGTCGTGGACACTTGTCACACTGCAAATTAGAAAATTTTAAACTAAGTAAAGAAGGTTTATTTTTTGAAGATGTAGGTGAGAAGCAAAAATGAACTAACAAAAAATACACAAGATAAGCTTTGTTTCACTATTAATATAGGTGGCGCACGATCGACATAAACATTACGCAGGGAACTCCAAAGGGAGCTATGCCGTTCAATTACACCTTTCATCAAGAGTAAACAAAATTGACTTACACAGAACCACGTAAGAAAACCAAATCAATATACGAAAAACATCATAAAATCCTTTAAACAAATTAGTGCAGAACGCTTGGTTCAATCACATTTTGTGGCTGGGGAAGTTAAACAACTTATAACAAGATAGTACAGAGGAGTTTCATGTACAAATTAATAGGATACCGGGATACCATAAGATGAACAGTGATTATCTACTGTAAGCAAGACGGGAAGTTCGCTTCCAAACTCCTTCATTAACTATCAGTTTATTTTGGACAGCAAACTTTTGAACAATCTGAAGATTCTCTTCAAAGTACTTGACAAATCAAGGACTGCATGTAAGCTTTCAATAAGCTACGGCTTTATCTCTGCTTATCCAGATTCTCCCCATGTTTTACAAGCAATTCTTCATAATAGACCAGAAAGTGCAATGAGTTAGTCAACCGAGAAATGAATCTAAGGATTACAAAGCACCAAAAACAAACTTTATAAGGTCTTTCTCCAGTATGAATACGAATATGGGCCTTCAAATAATGCTTTCTTCCCTTCTTGCCACAAAATTCACAAGCATACTTTTTAACCAGATGCGCTTTCATATGACTCAGCATATCGCTGCTTTTAACCTCCTCTGTACAAGCTCGACAACGACCGTGCTCTGAAATTAGGAATCGAAATCACGGTCAAAAACGTAATTTTTATCACGGATTAAACTTATCTGTTCTGAGATAACAATGGAACCAATCAGATCTGAAGCAAGGTAATATTTTTTCATCTCAGTGCAATGAAGACAATTTTTCACGATTTCTCGAGAATATTAAATAGAAAAAATTCTTTATATTTGCTTGTTAAAGAATACAAATTTACCACCGTCCAGGTGCTGATTTATGAAATGTTCCTTTATTCCATCTTGATCTTGTAATGTTACTTCATCCGGACATACTGCACAAGAAAGAAGCGAAGCAACACCCATCAGTAGGTCATCATTGGCTAATGCGTCTTTATTCCGAATTGCCCGCTTTTTTTTGAAATTCTTAAATAACTATAAAACTTCACACTGATCAGGAATCGAAAATAGGTATCAATAAACATCGGGCACTTATTTTCAAGAAGACTGAAAATACCAAAATCTTGGATTTTATATTCTTAATCTTAATTTAAATTAATGTTATATTATATTCTTAATCTGGGAAAAATGAAGAACTTGAATCTCTACCTTTACAAGTCTCATGTGACCTCGCCATCGTCACTTAGGTATGAAGAAAAAAGGCATTTCCAGTATGATTGCTTTACAATATAACAACCCTTGACTACAGAGAGGTAAAATTGTCAAAGTGGCAACTTCTCCAACAATTAGTGAGTGTCATTTGAAGCAGCTGGAGAAAGTTTAAACATACCGGACCAGATTTAAGAGGCACAGAAGAAGTTAGTGACGAAGACAGAGAACTTCGTTTCGGTGGCACAGTAACGATGTTGAACTTTGGCGATTCTTCCGCATCAGTAATTTGTGCAGTTGAAGAAGTTGGCATTGGTTGAAGTAATGGTTCTTCTCTTTTGGATACGGAATTTTCAGCCTCATTTGTCATTTTCAGTGGCTGTATCGGATTCTGCTGTTGCATTACTGCATACAACATCTCTAACTCCTTTTCGAGCCAACCACGCTTCCTCTCCATCTGTAAAATTAAGCAAAGTTAAGTCAGAAGATAGGAGAATTCCCTCCAAAAACCAAGGATCTACCCATATAATGCTGAAGATAGTTTAAAATAAATCGAAAGAAAGTTGAATCGTTTCTTGTTTTCCAACTTTGACTACAAGAGGACATAATTACAGTCTACAAGAATCTTTAGAATAATGAAAGAAAAAGAAAGGTTCTGCAGACTTCAACCACTAGAATTTCAGCATAATCTGTCGAATTCCAGAAAAATGTAAGCTTAGTGTTTGCAACAAGTTTTATTACAACAAAAAAGTAATACTGAAACTGACCTGTGCTATTTGAGATTTCATACTCAAAGCATCCTTTTCCAACAATTCACGCTGCCAGCGCTCTTTCCACAAATCATTCTGCAAATCTCGAAAAAGTGCTATGTAACATCTAGGAGAGAAAAAGCATTATGGAAGAATTGCGCAAGAACAAAGTTCCCATATTTGTATTTTACGGCCTAAAGTGCCGATCAAGTAGATCGAGAGGGGATAATAATCAACACTTTTAAGTCTCCTGCAAAACTGCAACTATCACCGCGAGCAATCGAAAAAGCAAAAATAAAGAAGTACACAGAGAAATTAATACCCAATGGTTCAAAGTAGAACCGTTGAGTGTTAATATTAATTTCGCTGTGGTTCGAAGTGGAACAGCGCCATGTCCTAGTGAAAACAAAAAAAGAACGAAGTACAGAAATTTTGAATTATTCAGCTAAATAGAAATCACCATTATCAATTAAAATCCAGTGGAAACACCCTGCCCTTAAAGAATGAAGTCAATAAGGAGCAGACTCGAAAACAGCCACTAGAATCAGTTTGAATACATGAATGGAATGAAATGAAGCTCCACTTTTGGAACTTCTCTTAAAAAAAATTGCATAATCGCTGTAAAATCGGGAAAATACGGGATGGATTATACAGAGAGACCAATATGAAATAATCGGACGACGACGAACACAGAATTCTTTTCAAACTATATACATAGGTTAAATTTCATGAATTCCAAAATACAAGTTTAATTTGTCTTATTGAACGCAGCCTACCTGTAAATTATGAATGAACATTAACAAGTGACTCTTCCATTCCGCTGCGGACGGAGTGCGCAAAGCGAGTCGTAATGCTGATGGACCATCACCAGGGGCGATACAAAGCCGGATGAATAGACCCATTTCTTGCTCACCAATCAAATTAATCATTGTGCTAAAAAACTTGCACATTCAAACTAGACTTCCAAATACACGATTATTTTGAACAGAAAGCTTACAATCTTGGATCATCTGATGGCATATTCGCTCCCTCAATCATATTCTTCAGGATGGACGGTGTGCGTTGCCCATAACGAATTGCAACTTTGTCGATTTTTGAATCCATTCGACAGGAATACAGCAATGAAGGATCTTCACATGATGAAACCCAAAGAATATATACCGTGTGGCGATTATCACCATTTACCTAAGAAATATCAAATAGACATATAAAGTTGTATCCGAAGCGATTTAAAAGAAAAATCCGAATTTTGACTATTGTCACAACGCTTTGATTTCAACAGAGTGAAATACGTCCTTAACGATGTCTTTCTCCAAAATTCCAGTGTTTTAAAAAGAAACGAGGTGAAAAGTACCTTTGCTTCCTTAGAATTTCTCTTGAGAAGAGGTAGGACATTATGACTTTCGCACTGAGCTTACATTTCATGAAATAACTTTGAATGGATTTAGACTATGATATCCATTAGCATAGTAATAACTTCAGGTGTTAAAAATATTACAACTTACCAATGTACCAGCTTCGTCTTCAGCATCTGCAAATGATGTTTCAAAACGGAATGTACATTTTACACCTCTGAAATATTTGTCGCGATCTAAAGCAAATTCATTGTTTCAAAGTATCAAATTAAATCAGATTTGCGGGAGAGTTGCAACTCTTGCATATGTCAGGAATTACTTGAGCAAATTTTATATATTATACTTTGTTTAAATCATATCTACTTACTTAATTAACCACTCCCTCAAATTGATCGAGTATTCTACAAAATCAAAAAAAAAGGAAGGTAAGAAAGTAAACTGCTAATTAGAATGCTGGGGACAGCAACTACTGTCGTATCATTAATCGTTAGGAACTTACTTTAACCCAAACTGTACAGGAGCGTTAGTTATCCAATAACTGTCGAACGATTCGCATGGCAGAACTGCTGAACTGCGTAAAGCAGCTGCAGCAAAACTTGCAAAATCCATCCTAAGCAAACGGCCCCTCCTGGATGGGTTTCAACCTGCAATTACTTACTTCCAGCAGGTGTAGAATGAGGACGAAAATGTTCAACATCAAAGTCCATAAGGCATTTATTTGTTCCAACGACGACTGAAAAGAGGAGGAGACATGCTTCAATGAATATACAGTACCTGTACATCGTTATAGAGAGGATATACAGGTACTGTAACTGTTCGGAAGGAAGTAAAGCATTTTCCAGATGCTGGAGGACCATAAAAAGAGGAAAAACAATTCATCATACAGGGATTATACGGAGAGAAAAACCAGAGAGTCATCAATGTCAGGCCCTGAACAAACAGCAAGAAAGGGAAAGCGGGACTAGTTTAAACAATAACGTCGTATAAACATGCCAATAGGAGGGGTATCCCTTTGCCGATACATAAAGATACGGAGCCTTAGAGTGAGGAGGAAAGAAGGCATCTAAACTGGAGCTACTCTACTACACAAGGGCTGACATTGACAAGAGGTGCAAGTCGACAGTCATTCCAACGGGTAGAGGTACTCAGCAAGAGGCGGGAGATGGGAAGTACCACTGCTTTGCTGGGACTTTCGCGCGGGAAGAGGCAGGATATTATAACTTTTGCAGTGAGCTTACAATGTTTGCAGACTCCGAAAGGGAGAACATTGTCATCGAAGGAGAGGAACTGTCGAACAATAGAAGCATATTTCTACCCTTTCAATGACAGGTCGATGGAGAGTGATGGTCACCTGAGGAGAGAACTAACTCCGTACAGGCATTACATCACCTCCACTGACAAATCGATACCATGAAGGAGCGAAAGGCCTATGTCATCGGCCGATAGGTAACTCTTCCACATACAGTGCACCCTGCATCTCACAACAACTCACAATATCGGGCTTCTATATCCTGCTCATGCACTATTTGAAAAGTAACTACAGTAAGATGCACAATATGTGGGCCAGTCAATTATTTCAGTATCATTCAATTTAATTATTTCTTGTGATTGATGTTCCTTCGATTTGCTTCTCCGATTCTTCTAACTGTCGACTCTGGATGGTTGACTAATCACATGTGTCGGCTAGAAGAACCTCGACATCTGATAAGATTACCAGCTTTTAGTTCCAACTTCACTTTCGATGTTAGCGCGTACGAAATACCGAAAGATCCAGCAAGCACAATAATCACACCCCGCCATCATTTTGGCGGTATGAATGAGATTCGTCATTTAGCTTCTTCAGAAACTGGAGTTCCAACACGGGATTTGTTCGAGTACTGTAGCTATGAATATGGCACTTTGTTCGTAATTGTTGCTTATGTTGGATATGAATGGGTGTGTGGTGTGGTTGTCGTCTGTGCGAATATAAACTATTAAAGTGCGTACGGTATTGATGCATCTTAAGGAAAAGATTAGCTATTGAATTACTTGTTGTATTTAATTAAATGCTTTCGAAGAAGGTTGCAGAGAAAAATTGATCTGTATTGAGATATAATCCATGTAGCTATAACAGAAATACACTTTGCATTTACGACATTGTACACTTAAGTACAATTGCTCTGACGTTCATGGCATTCGATCGCCACAGTGTTGTTATGATTCGCTGTGTTGCTAATAGGGTTTATCGATGTTGTGTTAATTTATTGAGAAATATACTAATTCAGGTTTCAGAATTCAGCAGAGAGGAAGAAATCAAAAAGATTGATGGCTGGTCGACGTACGGGATCGTATGGTTATCAACAAACAGAAGGACTTTCAGGCGCTGAATATTTGGCTTCTATTTATGGCACTGAAAAAGACAAAGTTAATTGTTCATTCTATTTTAAGGTTGGTGTTAAATCAATGTTTGTATGCTTCTATTTATGGCACTGAAAAAGACAAAGTTAATTGTTCATTCTATTTTAGGGTTGGTGTTAAATCAATGTTTGTATTGTATGTGGGATAAAAGGCAGCAATAAGTCTCATTCGAAATTCCTAACATGTGCAAGATAAATTTGTTAATGCCCATGATTACCGTGGACAAGGCATTCATAACCTGCAAATTTCTAGAAATTTCATTTTTTTTTTAGATCGGTGCCTGTCGTCATGGTGATAAGTGTTCACGAACTCATCATCGGCCAACATTTTCGCCTACCGTTTTACTTCAGAATTTTTACCACAACCCGATTGTTGACGTACGCCAAGCAGATGCTTTCGACAGTAAGTTTCAGTTTTGCGGTTTATTTTGAAGAGTTTGAATTGCCGTTTGTTATAAAGCATATTTTTCTCGAAAAACTTTTTCCAGAGGTTGGGAAGAAGAATGACGAGGAGCAAGCTTATTTCGATGAGTTCTATGAAGAAGTAAGTGGCAACATTATTTTTAAAAAATCTATTAGTATTTCGGTTTTTCTACCAGATTTTAGAATCATGAGTATTTGCAGAAAGACTTGACACCAGTATTTTCCGGAAACATCAAGCTGCAGTTAATTTTTGAAAATTTTGCCAGGTCATTTCTCGATAGTCTAAAGCTGTCTGGAGTGATTTAATATTGCTTATGCAGTCATTTAATGGGTCGTTCTAGGTATTCACTGAACTGGAAAGGAAGTATGGTGAAATAGATGAGATGAATGTTTGTGAAAATATCGGCGAACATATGATCGGTAATGTTTATGTGAAATTCATGCGGGAAGAAGATGCTGAAAAGGCGGTGAAGGATCTTGAAAATCGTTGGTAAGTTAGGGAAGTAATTATACCCTAACAGTCATACATTCGTAAGTCCCCGCATTGCATGTTTCAGGTTGTCATGTAGATTCTGTGGCATCGTGAAAATTTTGTTTTTTTTCATGTTTTGATTTTTGGACCCGGATTTTGAGCACTTTTTTAAGGAGGCCGAGAAAGTGGAGTAGTTTATGAAAGTTCTTTCTGAATTCCTGAATAGGGTAAGGAGTTGCATAAGTGTACTCTTGTAAACCGTTCTCCTATCGAAAACTCATGCTCAACTTGTTTAGATTCTCAACGTCGCTCTGTCAGCAGTACCTGGCGAATCCAAATTAAATGGCTTATTGCTACAGCAGCAATCTTACCAATCATTCTTTTAGATATTGCATCTGATTCAATTATATTTAGATTCATAACACAAATTCTGTAGTCAAAAGTGCAACTTCTTAAGCAGTCTTCTCTCCGGAAAGCAGTACTGTGTTCTGGATCGGCCAGGAATATGTAAATTTAATGAAATTTCAAGAATTTAGTAATCAACAGAAGCACTTCTTCATTCCTTAGCATCACTAACTTAATCCTAATTTAGATATTTCTCATACATTCCCTGATGCGATGACGATCCCTCGAAAGGTAAATTGTTGTTGGTTAGGGTGTAGAGAAATAACCCTCTTGCTTTGTGGTCTAAGTCCAGTGAGTTAGTGCTACCTGTTTTTTTTGCTGGATTTTACTTGATTTATTATTAGTTTTGGCACCTTTTCCTTCTTACAAGTTCACTGCTTTAAAATAATTAACTGGAAATTTCAGGTTTAACGGACAGCCGATATACGCAGAGCTTTCACCAGTAACAGATTTTCGAGAGTCGCGTTGCCGTCAGCATGAAGTGACCACATGTTATAAAGGTGGATTCTGCAATTTCATGCATCTGAAAGCGATCAGTCCGGAGTTGGGGGAAAAGCTTTTTGGTCGCAGGTATTTCAGTGTTCGTATGAACTATGTGTCGCACATTTTTGGTTTGGGCTTCTGCGTCAGAGTTGATGCCACTTTTTATTAGTTGTTCCATATCTGGATTTCTGAGATCTTCAATTGGCCTACAAAAGGAAATTTCGAGTATAACGCAGCCAGTGGAGGAGAAATCTAAGCATAGAAATGCCTAGTAGAAAATTCACTGTAAACTTACCATGCTAAAGATCCTGCTTTCATTTATTTAAATTTTCGCATGAAATATTTGCAGAGGTCGTTATGCAGATGAAGCAGGCCACTATCCGAGCGCTAAACGCGGTCGTCGACGTGAACGGTCACCGCGTGATCGATCCCGTGATGACTGGCGAGAGAGGGAACATGGTCGACGATACTAATGTACATGCATTTTTTTCTTTGTTCTTTAACTGATATTGGTTATTATTGTTTTACATTTCATGCAGTTTTAGATGTAATGATTATTCCGAGAGCGAGGAATATCGTGACATCTGTAAATTTGACTTTAAGTAGTTCTTGTGGGTTTATTTGCTACTTTATCATGTTCCAAATTCCTTACACTTTTTCTTAGTAAATGTCTCCATGAAGTTTAATCCGCATAGGAAACACTGAATTTATTGAGACACCTTTTTTAATCTCTGAATTCGGTGTGTTTGATGTGTATCTCTCGAAATATTTCGAAGCTTTTTTCTAAATATCTATAATAATGCCAAAACCAGTTAATCCCTCCGCTTTACAAGAAAAGAGAAAATTCTATTTTCCAGCTTGAGGTTAAGCCACAGAACTTTTTAAAGCTTTGATACTGCTTGGTCCTTTCTCGTGGATGGATTACTGGTTGTTATTGATTTTTAAGCGACTGATACTGGTATTATGCTTATGTTGTTATCAGTTTTAGCTGTGAGAGCTAATAACCGCATTCCTACATACTTTAACTTTCTGTATTATATTTTCCAAATAATGAATGCTGCATTATTTTTGTTATTTATTGATTTTTGGAATAAATTATTTTCCATTCCCACCGGCCCAACTTTGCGACATTAGAGTCTTTTGCGATTACTGTTTTCTATGCAAGATTTTTTTTTGACATATTGCACTTTGTGCTACAGAAAATATATGCCATTAGTTCTAGCTACCGGCAGCTTATGACCTACGACTTCTATTTATTTTGTCTTCTTTGCATCATAAGACCAATGACATCAAAGTCTCTGAAGATTTCTGCTTTTTCCGCGAAATATGGCTTCTCTTCGGCTATGTTATACTTTCCGAGATCCTCCTCAGTTGGTATTCGGGTTGTTTCAGGATAAAGAATCTGCAATACTGCACAACTGTATAGATGGAAGAGGTATTCACGAGAATTAAGCGCAGAGTCCACAGTACGCATTGAAAAATTCAAAAAAGCATTTGAAACTGGAAAATAATGAACCTGTTTGCCTTCGTCTGACGAAGTATGGCAAATGCGACCAATCATTGGAATAACATACTGATTACAAATAACCACGTAAAATCGTAACAAATGGGCTTCCAGTTCGATATTTGGTCCTCTCAAATTTTTATTTTCGAGAAAAATCATGTCATCTATAACTTCAACTCCCTGAAATGTCATTCGCATTAAAGTACGATATATTAATAAAGCTTTTTCACAAAGAAAATGTGGAAAGAAAAAAGGAAGTCAAATAATCACCTCAAATTTTAGTATAGTCTGGTACATTTAAGGGTAGTGATGTTTGTTAAGTGCAAGATGTAAGAAGTTATATATTAAACACAGAATTAACAAGTTAGTCCGGCTGCTAATCAAGAACTATAAGAGAAGAACCTTATTTCTCCAACAATGAAAGAGACAATCCAAGAATAATGAAAAAGCACCTCTTGCCGTAGAGAGGCTTTAACGATCGATTTGTCTAGTAACCAAGGACTTTCCATAGAAACTCGCAGAGGTATAACTTTTCTGATCAATTCTCTTCCAAGCAATATGTAATCATATGGAATGCGAACCCGTTTTATCAACTCATCTTTCATTTTCTGAAAATAAGGCACTTGAAGCAATCCTTTAAAAATGAGGGTTTTTCTTCAGAACCAATGAACTATCCCATTATTTTTGAAGTACTGCCTTTTCTCAGTACATATGTTACTTCATCTTGTATTCTTTTAATTCCCATACAAACCTCCTTCATCTCTCCATAATATTGCAAGTTGAATGGTGAAGCATATGCTGCCTTCTGCGTTAACAACAGATCTGTTCGTGCAAGTCGACGATTCACTTCAACAACATCAAACTGATTACCAATACCTCAAAAACAAAATTTAGAACTGCTGACTCCAAAAACAATATTTAATTATGTCCTACTTACATGATAAGCTGGAGCACTGAATCTAATTTATAAACTAACCTTCTACATCTCTGAGTAAAATAACTTTCAGAGGTCCTACTGGTTTCAAATCCTCAATTTCGACAACCTCGAGTTTCATAAGATCTGGATGTTCGGTTGGATTTCGTTGCATACGTTCCAGCTGTGTCGGTTCTGAAGCAAAAACCCTTCGTAGAATCCATGTAAACTGCAATAATAATTCAAATTAACTGAGTCAAGAGAAAGTACCTACTATCAAGTGCAAACCAAACTCCCGCAGAAGGACGAGACGATAATGAAGGAAAGTCATTCAGTAGTTAAAAACATGTATGACAATGTGAAATAACGTGCCCAGTCAAATGGGAATGTATCATGTGCTTTATATGTACTTAATGAAAAAAAAAAAACCAACACAGAAAGGCTGATTTCGGAAGCAAATGGGTCTATTCAAGTGACAAAGTTTAATCCTGAAATGTAAAGACTCACTCACCCGATACTGTACAACTGAGTTGTTGGTGAGATTGCCGAGAAGTCTGCAAAGTGGTAGAAGAAGCATCGGGAATTCCTTCGGGAATCCAGTTCAACCAGCCAGATATTTCAAAAGATCTTTTCAGACTTTCACGCACAGCAAATTATCGATGCAACTATGAGTAGTGAAATGAATTGTGTGAATACCAAACACTAATATCAAACTGGGTTTCCTTTCTCTTTCTTCCACAGGAACAAATATGCAGTCGGAAATTACTTCTGATAGTTTTAACTTATCGTTCACAGAAGGCAAAAGTAACCCTAAATCCAGTTTTCACAGATGGTTATTTTTATTTCCATAGAAAATTTCTGTCATCATCAAAAAAAGCACTTTGGGGTTTGAAAAAACTAAAATGAATGAAGGGAACAAAACTCCCAATACCATTCATTCGCCATCCGTAAACACTATGGGTAAAAAAGTCGGATTAGGTCGGTACTCGAATAGCGATTACCGGAGATTCATGATGTGATCGATGATGAGTTGTTCCGTTCACTTGGCGGAATTGAGGAGGTGCTAGTCGTTGGTTGTTCAGTTCATCGGGTGACGAATAATGAGTCGTTAAGGTGGATTATTCAGTATGCTGGCAATTCCAGAGTTCCTCTCTGTTGCCTTGGTTCTATCTGGTGGTTTCCATCAGTTTCCCCTTGTTTGTTAAAATATTTTATACATTGCTGTTCTTGATTGTTAGTTTCATCAATAAGAAAAACACTGATCCTTTGTACTGAGCCGAATAAAACTCTCGGTCGAGATGGAAGACGAATTCTGTCACAAAGGACCAATAATCTTTTTCTCGAGTTTTTCTGCCATGCATTTATTTGCCATTGACATCATCTAAAATTATTTCTTAATTAAATTGCCGAAATGTGATATCTTCCAAGTATAGAAGCGATGACAGCACCAATAAGGGTGATGCATTTAAAAATTTATATTAGCTTGTTCCTTCGCATATTTCATTTCTACAATTAACGAACTAATTGAATAAATATAACCTCAGTTTGTCATTTTTATCATCACTACGACTGCAAAAAAAATTTCGAAAATCCTTTGCCGAATTCTCGTCTGTCAAGGAAATGAAAGATTGTTAAAGCTTACTGATAGTATATCATCCAATAGTTACGTAACTGATAAACAGACTTCTGCAGATCAATCTCCTCTCCCTTAGTTTTCTCCTCTGAAATGCACAATTTCTATCTCGGAGTTGACATGGCAGTCATATCAATTTAAAATCTACTTGATTTAAAATTTAATTTAATTTAATTCATCAAATTAAAAAATTCAATTTGAAATCTGTCTCTCATTCAAAGATCTGGTATTAGTAAAACTTAAGCGATATACACAGAGGTATTATTATTAGTAGTATTGCCACTATTTGTCCTTGAATTAAAATGGCAATTTAATCCTTTAAAGGAGAGAGAGAGAGAGAGAGATGAGAAAAGTTAGTTTATCAGTTACGAACTACTGAATGGTGTACTATCGCTTTGCTAACTTTTTTTTTTTCTTGGTAAAATAACAAAGCCTGAGTTGGGAAGACTATTAAAGTCCGACGAATAATCGATAGGCCTAGGGGAGACTACATCCTTTCACTTTCTCTTTGCATCTTTTGAGAAGAGCACTGGAATAGTCCACTTGGTGTAAATAGTCCTGAATAGGGCTGATCAAGTTTATGCACGTGGTTTTCTTGGCTTTTCTCTTGTTTTTCTGTTTCTTATAACTGGAAGGTCGGCCTGTTCTCGAGGAAATGCAGTAGTCATTTTGTTTGTTTAATGGATGACGAATAGCATTCTAAGGAATGATCATTTGAAGTAATATTTTATCAATCTTCATCTACCTCAAATAATATCATTTCCACTCCTCCAATTCCTGCGCGCATTTCAAACATTAGTCATCTTTTTCTCATTCCTTTTAATTTATTCTACTATATTACTCTTTGTTAGTATTTTCTCCATGATGATTGTGGAAAGAACTATTCCGTAAAGATTTTAACTAATGTGCAATCGTGCTATACCAACATATGTATTGGAACAGTCCGAATACTTGATCTGCTTACAGTGCGTGTGTTTATCCGTTTAAAAACCGATGATAAATATATCAAAATTTCAGGTTGATAAGGGAATGTGATTATCACCTGGTGTGGTACCGACTCTTCTTCAGATCCTTGTTAATAATGGTCCCCTTCATTTTTATATTGGTATTGTGAAACTAAAGACATATCAAAGGTTGGAGTTTCCCATTCCAATCAATGTACGGTAGAGATTTGAATAGAGAGTGACCACAGAAAAGTAGGAATGTTTTAAGATAGATTTTTTGTCTGAAAATGAATTCCCGTATGTTAGCACTGGCTGCTCAACTGAAGTCCACTATTAGTGTTTGCTCATATATGTGGTAATCTCTTACAGCTCATTGGTACTTCTAAATGTAGTGTGAAAATGACGTTGTATGATGTGTAAATAGATGATATATATAGTGAAGGGGCCAAATCACGTCATCAGTGTTTGTGAGCAGATGGAAAAATTTATCACTAGAGTTTGACAATGTGCTCGAAGATTAATGCTTTTCGGGTGGCTTTTTCTGAGGCATTTCCTTCGGCTTTCCATTCTGCAACAAACATAATACACACACACACACGCACACGCACACACACACACACACACACACACACACACATACACACACATACACACACACACATACACACACACACATACACACACACACTCACATACTCACACATACACATACACATACACAATAAACACACGTTTGGAGTGGATTTGCTATTCGTTTTTCAAGGGTATGGTAGGATGAACTTTCACGTGAGAAATGTCGTGGAGTGCTATTTGGCCTTCACGCACATATTTTTGAAGTGATCTGCAAAATCTTTTCCCGAGGTACTGTTTGAAATTTGATAATATATTCATTGTAATAAAAGGAATGTAGAAAGAAGTGAGAGTAAAATCTACTAATACTTGCTGAGATTTTATGGAAGTTCCGGGATATGTTTGAAAAATCCGAGTTGTGATTAATTGTTTTTCTTTGACAGTTCCTCCAAATGATTGTCGAACAAAAGTGTTTTTCAAAATTTCTGAGAAAGGAAAGTTCTCTTCCTAATTGATTTTTTAATGGCGCGATCATTATTTTCCGTTGTTATTTTTTTTGCCGGATATTCAATTGCAAATTATGGAGACGGCGAAAATCCCGGCTAAATAATGATTTCTGAATTCTAAGATCTCTCTCCGGAAGATCCTTTATTATCAATTTACTCAATCTTGATTACTTTAAAACTCAGCTATTTTTCTATTTATATTCCAAGTAGTTGTGATAAGCACTTTTGTTTGCTGTGATTCACTTTCTGCTTCATTTAACTTCCATCATTCAGTCTCGAGAGTAAACTAATTTTCGTTTAAATTAAACAACTTTTTGTAAGAAAATTCATGTTACTACTGGCTCTGATTTGGCGCCATTGTTAGTTATCTAAACAAAAATGAGAAAATGTATGCCCAGTTTTGTCTGTCAGTACATGGATACAGTCATGCTTATTAATGTTTCATTAGCTTATATTGTTCCCCTCTTATAATGTTTCAGGTTTTCCTATAGTATCAACACTAAAGATCATGGAATGTAGATCAATGTCTTCCAGGTTATGCTATTTATGTTTCGTTTATGCTACTGTCCTCCACCTCCACTGAACGAGCTGAAGTTGTAATACTGCGACTTTGGTATTATAGAGTGTATATAGAGAAATATGACATTTTTTCTTAAGAATATCCTGGAAACAAATGTTTAGTGTTATAAATTTATTTCTACTCATATTGACTACTGCTATTAGATTTCAAGTTCTGGATTAATTAGAACTCTACCACTGTTACATTTTTTAACTTTTTAAAACGAAGATGTAAGCAACATTACCTCTGATTTCTCTTAACCAATAAATTTTATTATAACCACAGTTGTAATTATGTCTTGTTTATCTCTACTATGATTGTGTATCAAAACAGATGCACTTTTTTTATCAAGTTCAGCGTTCTAAATTGTTGATTTCTTTTGTTTCTAGCTATTCAGAAGTCTCCACCAAGGTAGCTCTAAAATCCCTGCTTCTATATTAATGTCTTTGTGGACAGCCTTATCGGTTCAGTCGCTTATTTCGGTATAATGGTAATTTTCTAATCGAAGAATTTCATACCAAAAAAATCTTTAAAATCAACTAACAAGCTGTCCGCTATGCTGTTTATGCTTCACATTAAGTCACTCTTCGCAGTGTTTGAAAATTATCGATTGTTTTTTAAAAGAGTTTCATGACATCCAAAATATGTTTAAATATGAAGTGATATCTAAACACTACATACTTTCCACATCGTGCAGTACTGTTTCATATGTCTTTTAATCTGATTAATATCTTGCTAAAAGTTTTATTGTTTTCTGTTTCTCCACCCTGATTATTCCGTCAAATTCATTAAATTATTTATGGAATCCTGTTATAGACATAACGTAATAAAAAGACAAAAAATCAGTTTCTAACATCCAGCACTACTGATTGGTTGTAGTACTTCGTGATCTTCCTTTACTTTTTTTTCTGCTGATAACTTCTCTGTGAGGCCTTATTCAATTGCTGATTCAGTTATCTGTTCCTCGATCATCCTTGTCTTTATCCTTTGTTTTGCAATTGTAGAAAGATCTGTGCAAATGATGGTAGTAATTTATAGCTACAATATTCAAAGATTACACAAATGATATTGTACATTTGGGACAGGATACTATTATTATCGGAAAGATGATTCGAACAATTTGAAACCACAGATATGCATCGAATCTGAGCAAACATTTGATTCAAGCTGAAGCTGGTAAATATATACTTTCCATCTGCTAGCGGGATATTATCGAATCAGCGCTTTCAGTTTAATATGATTTCCGTGTGTGATGCCTAAAATGAGTACTTCCAATATAACTTCTTATGATCATAATGCATAACAATTTCCGGGTAATTTAAGTTTCACGAAAATTTCATTTTATTGCCTTCTTTGTTCGCACTAATCAAAATACATCTGTAATGCATACTTTTCATTGCTATTGTAAATATTAGTTATAGGATAGATTAGATTTTGCTACCTTTACTGATTAAATTTAGCTTTCTTCACTGTAACATGTCCCATAATGAAATGATTTTCAGGCATTTTAGATCGGAGCTAGAGATTTCACCATCCTTCCTTAAAATCGTTTTAGAAACTAGAATAAATCTGAAGAATTGCCGGTTGAGTAAATTTTCCTTTCTTCCTTACGATTTCGTGAAAAGGGAAGCGAAACGATGCTATTGGCAGGGGATTTAATATGAGATTCAAGAAAGATGGAAAATAGGACCATTTTTTAAAGCCTCTCATTCATTCCTCGTTCATAAAGTACATAGCAGTTTCATTATATCATTGTTTTTTATTCTCAAGAAATTTTTTCTTGCTGAAATATTCAGCTTGAAAGGGACTATTTGATTATCATTCCAGTTGTATCTTGTGCAATTTAGTTGATGAACTGAAGAAAATTTTTATGATTCTTTGGTATGAAAGAGGCATCTGTTGAATAATAATGGCAACTTTATTTCCTTGGATATTTTATAAATTTGACTGTATGATTAAAATAGTAAATATGTTTCTGGGATTTAAGCTTGGATTCATTTCTACCCTGATTATCTGCCAATCAATGGATTCTCGAATGAGACAAGCTATAGCAATATGTGACATAGAAGTAATGCTAGATGAATGTAATTCAATCACTATTTTACTTTTACAGCAGAAGTAAAGGATAGTCTACTGATTTCAATTACAGTGGAAAGAAATCGTGGTGGTGACATTCGTTACTCCAGCGAATGGTCAGAATACTGTAACTGGCAGTTGCCAGTTCCATCGTCATCGCAAAGCGACCAGTGTCAGTCACATTCGATTGCTACTTGGCACGCTCATGAACGTGGTTTAATTCCAGAATCTTCAAATCTTAATTCAGCGTCCATTATTGAGTGGCAGCTGTCAGAACGAAGGCCTATTATTGGCGCCAACTGCCCAAAACATAGGTGAGCTCGTGATCATGAATTTCATTTTCTTATTTATCTGACTTTAATTATCCATCCAAAGCTGTTTTTTTTTTATTTTGTGAAATTTAAAAAGCTGAATTTCTCAATTTCAGAAATTCAGTCAGTCAGGCCAATTACACAGATAAATTGATTTTTTTTTCAGATTTTTTAAGAAATTTCAAGTCGTATTCATAATAATAAACCCAAACTTATTAAGTTGCGATCCAATTTTTGTGTGAATCCCACAAAAAACTCAATTAATAACGAGAGTTTAAAACAGGTGTAGTAACCAGAGAACGAGGGTAATTTATTAAATAAGGTCCTCGTTGAAATATGTGTCGGTTGGGATCAGTTATGAAATAAGTATATATGTCTTCGTGAGCATTTTTTTTTTGTTAAAAAAAATTTGTTGGAAATAATAGCAGCAAAGTTTCATTTTAATAAAACGTTTCTTTTGACTTTCTCTTCCCATTAGTGACTTAGCTTCTTATATGCTATCCCCTTCATCTTGGACTTATTTTCTATGGATATGACAACTGAGCTGTAATTATGTCTTCAGTGTCTTTTATTTTGAGTTTGCTCATTTCTATAATTTCCAAGCAGATATACAAGTTGACCTTTTTTTCTTTAATATTCTTTTCAGTTTTGAATTATTTAGATCTAATTTCCAACTGCTATTAAATCAGGGCAAAATATCTTCTCTCTATTTCCACTCCAAATTATAACTTTTTTTTCAAATTTGTGTTGCAGTATATGTTGTTATCGTTACCCGTTAATCTTGAATTTGGGTTTTGGTTTTTTGAAAAAACTTATGTGATAATGCTCTATAAAAATCTTTTGTTGAATGAAAAGAAGGTCAGAGAGTGTTTGCGCTATGTTTCACGACAGTTTTTTACTTTTGGAATAAACTGTCGCTATCGCTGTAAATGTTTCGGGCATATCGGTACTGAGAGTTTGTTATGAATGGATGAAGTTTTCTCAGTCAAGAAGAAAAGACAGAAAATTAAAAATGATGGAAGGAAGAAAAATGAGTAAAAGATGCTACAGATGAAGTGAGTAAATATAAATAAATTTCCTCAATCATCCTATCTTGAGCAGTTTCATTTATAACCTTTTCATTTCATTATAACCTTTTCAACACTTGAATAGAATAAAGCACGTCATGTATTTGTTCAGTGATGCCAAAAGAGATTGGTAGTTGCGTATTCAATCTGTTTCAGTCAGATCAGTGCTGAGCTTGTTGCCTTTGATTGTTTATCACCAAATCACATTGTTTTTTTCCATGTTTTTTGATCAAAACGTTAGCCCATATTTTCAATTTTATGATTTAGACTTACTTTTTATGACATGTTAAGGGAAATTAATTATATTCTTTGTAGTAAAAACGAAAAATCAAAGATGTAAAGTCAACTCGTGCATGCATTATACAAATCATTGAATGTGTTTGCAGTCACATATAGATGAAGTCACATCGGTACTATTCCTTGAATGTTAACCAAACTTTGTGATCTAATGTAGGACAACTTTAATTCGTGGCAAGGCTGAGGAACATATATATATATATGTAATTTCTCGAGAAGAGCTTTAAGATAGAAATCAAATCATTCCGAATGATCTGTCGGCTGCTTAGGCTACTATTGAATTGATTACTATTATTCAGTTTTATTTTCTAACTAAAAAATTATTGCATTGATAACTTAGCCATCCCAAATCATTTAGTTGAAGGTCTATGTTGGGAGTGTAATCAAAGAATGGTTTTTTTTCAGAAATTATTATACAGTTATGTCATTACAACAGTCATTGACACCACAAGTGATTGTCAACAAAACTTCGCCAGCAAACGGCATGGTACTAACGCCCCGTGGTGCCTCTTATATGGGACCGCCAGCAAGCCAAATGAGCATCTCGCTAAATACACCCTTACCATCAGATGCGATAACGTCCTATCAGGAAGAAGAAGGAATCGATTGCTCACCTTGTTGCAGTAATGATATCCTCAGGTTTATTTTTCGTTTCACTCCCTCAGACTTGTTTTAAAGGTTCGAAAGCGTCGACATTTGTATTTTGAAGTTGCTGGTATCATTCTGTTAGGACATTTCACTGGTAATGTTTGTAATGGCCTTGTTTCAGGAGGACATTTCGAAACATTGTATATGGACAAATTCTGTCATTATGTTTATGTGGTACAGGTGTTGGTAGTCAGTTACTCAGTGACAGAGGAGTGAGTACTCCGACAGGTACGAAATCCACATTCGCGAATGAGGCGTAGCAAACTTTGACGTAAGGATAAGTCCAAAATTTCAAACAAGTGAGAAAGTGAGATTTCCACTGGGTAATCACTGGGACTATAGATCGACTAGTTTTAAATTTGCATATATGAAAGGAATTAAAATTATTGAATAACGAGATTTTCAAAAATAAAATTGCTGATGATATTTCGATCCATTATGTGACTAATATATTGTGTGACATTATCTTGGCTCAGCTTATTTCGAAAAGCGACGTGTATGTTAAATGTTTTTAACTTATTCAAAACCATCTGCCACTAGCTTTTTTCCGAATGGATGAATTGGAAGATAAGTGAATAAGAAGTTCTACAACAAATTTTCACTTGTGAGCACCCACACACATTGCAGAAATTGAATTTCAGCTCAGAGTTTTCTTAACTATTTCCTGTTGTCATCCATTTATGGGACAATGCTCGTCTTCCGAAAAGAAGAGAATGCGTTTTTACCAGTACTCAGGAAACGTGGATGGCGTTATTTGCTGTTGGCTATTGTAGATGTTGAAGCTAACTATATCATTGTTTACGCTTATCAGTTTACTAATTTGACTAGTGTGCAGGTACTTTCAGTTATTTTAACCTTTTAAAATAAATGCTCTTCAAAAATAAAGAATACCAATCAGTTTCGAATATTTTAGTGCATCATTTCTCCGTAGTAGTGGGGAGTGATTACACAATACTTTGATGCTTCCAGTTAAATTCTGCTCAAAGTTTTCCCTGTTATCTTTTATGAAGATGATGCTGATATTTTAACAGAGTGGATACATTTTTACAATTTCAAATGTGAAGCCCTATTTAGTACAACTGTCGATATTTCAGTTGCTGGATTGCTCAACGATACCGATGGTATTACTATTATCATGGTTATTCCTTTCCACGCGCTACCTCTTGACACATATAATCGGTGTTGGAATTTGTCTTATCGGAATTGCTGTTCTTATTTGGGCTGATGCTCTAGAAGGAAAAGGTGCTTCTGGAGGTAATTTATGCTTTTGAAACCTTCAAGTTAAAACCAGGCTAACAAACGTAATGAAGTTATGTTCAAGATTGTCTCTCCACTCTCGCACTTCCCTTCCCATTTTAACTATTCCATCTCCATATTTCTCATGCATTATGACGTGCTGCAGGTATACCTAAAGCATGAAAAGTTATATTAATGTCAAAAGGTCACTATTGCTGTTGAAACTGTCGCCATTATAACTTTTGTCATTGAATGATCTAGAGCAGTTCTTCCTCATCTAAATCAGAAGATGAAAATATCTTATTTCGTCTTTTATTCATTTTTTTCGGTATTTTTTTAAGTTTAGATTTTTTATATTTTCTTTCATCTATATAAGTTATTTTAATTTATTGGCTATTTTTTTTTGAATAAAAAGATACAATCACTACATTTAGGATATCCAATATTTGTTTTACTCTATGGTAAAAAAAAAGGTGGAAATAAAAAATAAATAAATAAAAAGTAAAAAAGAAATAAGAAAGTAAAAACAAAATAAATCTATATATAAAAGGTAATGCAAGTGACTAAGAAACTGAATACAAATGACGCTACGGTAATGAAATGGCCATAATTTGTGTATGCTGCAAGTTAATTTCATTTTAATTTCCATTTCATCAACAAGTTTTGCAGGTTCTAACCGAATTTTGGGTGATGTATTGTGTTTGACTGGCTCAGTTCTATATGCAGTGGGTAATGTATGTGAGGAATTTTTAGTGAAACAAAATAACCGAGTCGAATATCTTGGTATGGTTGGCTTATTTGGCTCAATCATTTCGGGGATACAGCTGTAAGTTTTATCGGGTAACATTTTGTTAAAATAATAAACGAGAGGAAATTAATTCTTTGTATATGATAAGGTATTATTCCAGTGCTGCTTTGGAACATCGTGAGTTAGCATCAATCAACTGGTCAGGAATGATCGTAGTATATTACGTTTTATTTGCTGCCTCTATGTTTCTCTTCTATTCAATGGTCAGCGTGGTTTTGCAGGAGTCTTCCGCTCTTATGTTCAACTTATCAGTACTTACTGCCGACTTTTACACTCTTGTTTTTGGTTTATTTATATTCAAGTATGAAGTAAGTTATCTGTTTGAAAAGCTGTCGTTAGTGTTAACAAAGTAATTAGTCCCTCCAAAAGATGATTTAAAAGTGAGGTGGGTCGGTGTGTTTGAAGTATCTACTCTATGCAAGTTTTGACTACCTTAGATAAAAATCACTTTTTGGGTGCGCCGTTTAAAAGAAACTTCAGTTTCACCCGTTATATTTCGTATCGTTTTCCCTGGTAATTATCGGTTCCTTAATATATTCTATCCGAGAAACGGAAAGGCGAGATTCGGATGAACCACGCAATATATGCCGCTTGTTATGTCATTGTTGTACAGCTGGCATTCCACAACGGTCTTTTGTAAGTCTATCTCGCCAAATATTTTTTGTAGGATAAAAAGGTTTTTTCTATTTTTCCTGGATGAATGCTTTTACTGATATTGCAGGCATCGATTGCTCGATAAATTTCACTTTAAAGATGAATTTAAGGCTCAGACATCGTTGGTACAGACTGGAAACGCAATGGAGATAGCGAATAACACTGTGATATACGGTGGGACAGCTGCGTACCCAGAAACTACAAGTATCAGACATTGTCCAGTACATGGTCAGCAAGTGCCCTATTTACAACAACATCAACCAACTGATACGGTGGAAACATACGCATAACCTTCATATTTTCATTTAAGAATGGATGCTTTTCCGTAAAACTATCGAAGTCGTGATTTTTAAAAACACTGTTGTTCAAATAACTGCTGGTTGACCATCAAAATATAGAGAGAAATAAAAATTTTTGAACGCATGAAACTCAACTGCAGCGGAATATTTTCCCTTATCCGAACCAATATGGCGAATGATTCATAAATCCCCAAATGCCGTTATGAAATGGTCCTAAAATTATAAAAATAGAAGTAATCTGGATTAAAATTAGAAACAAAGAGCATAAAAGAGTTAGGCATCTCTCAGGCACTGGTTTTTATCATTTAGTAATCATGAAAACATTAGTCTTTTATTTAAAGAATGGATATGACTAATCCAATCGTTCTTGCTGAAGTCCTTCAAAACTGATGGCTGCTGGATTGTCGTAACGATTTTTATAAAAAGCGAATTCATCATAGTAATTCCGGTAAGATTGTCATGTATAAAGAGGAAGTAAGCCGTAAAATTCCAAATTTTTGAGTTGCACTTCTTACGAGTTGAGCTCAGTTCAATTCAAATGTGACCATTCCCTTATCCTTACCAATGTTATAGAAAAAATCTAATTGTTTCTTTCTCAACTACTTCAAACCCAAAAAATGCCTTCAAATACTTATTGGGAAATATTTAGCAATCTTCTGATTTTCTCGATATATGGTCAATATGTGCCGTGTTTTCCTGGTGTGCCCGACATTTCCTGTCGCATTACAATATCGCCTAAACTCCACGCACAGTGTGGTTTTCCCAGGTATATAATAGAAAATTCAGTAGTCATTTGCCAGAAGTTCGCCACTTGTACATAGTTTAGAGTCCGGTTCAGAAACTTGTTGCACCAGAAGCCAAAACTACCGAAACCACGATTTCTCGGACCAAACCCATATGGACCATAGCCATGACTGTTGACTAATGTATTTTTCCGTTTGTTTCTGAAACAAAATTTACTATGTCAAATTGCTCTACCTATCTGTGTTACAGTACTGGGTGATTTACATATTCTGTTTTTTATCAGTTGAAGTTATTTATTTTACAAGTTACGTTATATTTTGCTAGTCTCGAATTGAATAGTAAAAGAGAATACACTACAATGGATGAACACAGGTTTACCTGATCCTAATGTCCTAGCAAGAGAAGGATCAACAAGAGAAGCTGTAACATGAAGCCAAACCTATCAATTTTAAATGGTTATAAATCATTTTTTTTGTTAGTTCACACACAAAATAAAAAAAACGACAAGGTTGACGTCAGCTATGGGCACGAATGTGAACAAAATGTTTTGAATAGAATATGTTTGCCAACATCAATGAAGAGCCTTTGAGAAATACAACTTAGATGATATCTACCGCGAGCAAATTTGTTCTTGTGACAGATGGTGAACGCGTGAAATTGTTCTAACTTTATTTTAATATCTGTCTCAATCAATAACTTTTATGAACTTTTTACAACTTTCTGATGTAATCTTATAACTTTTAGGACGTTTGCCACATTTCTACGGTATTTTGAAGTTTTCCTGTAATTATTTGAAAAGAATGGATATTATTCGTTCGAATCTGAGTAATTTATCACTCAGTAAATTATCATTCAGAAATCTTAATTTGACACATATTTTTTGTTTCGTTGACCATTCATCAGTTGGACTATTTTATTGTCCATTCATCGGTTTTCATTCGTACCATCTTCCATTATAATTACTACTACTGCTAATTACTGTTAATTGCTCACATGCAGATGGATAGTTTTGCAAATGAGTCATTGCTAATTACCCGCTTGTCAATGAGATGTAATTGAATTTTTTGCCCGGATAAAAGTGAAATTACATCTGTTTCAATACACATTTTCCTTCTTTCATTTCTTTTCATTGTTTTGTCTTTTGTCCATTTCTATACAAATTGACTGGTTAAATAAACAACTGTTTGTTGTCCTTCTTGACAGTTATGAATGACAACATGAAAATAATTATAATCTCTTATAGTTTTTTGTGCACTCTACGCATCGTAACCAACGATACTTCTCCAGTTTACTTCAAGATCTTTCAAATAGTAGTTATTGGTATAATTTTTGTGTGCATATATCAAAACCTTTATGTTTTAGTTAATTATTAGTCGTAAATGTAGAATTCCTAATTTAACTTCAATTTTTTTCAATTCCTAATTTAATTCTAATTTTTAATTTCAATTTCCTGGAAGACCAATATATTTTAATTGACAAATCAGGATATCTGATGAAAACTTAAGCTCAACTTTTTCTACTCATTTCACGTGCTTCACGTTTAATACGTCTTGCTACAGCGGCAACCAACGCTGCACCACGTCCACTTCCATCTTCTGACAACATTAGTTGATATTCTAAATTTTTTGGCAACAACTGGTCAATTTTTTGGTCCATAATTCTGGCAAAATGTGGATGGAAACGAAATAAGGACCCATCGATACCAACTGTAACATACGGTTTCTGTAAACGATTCAACAGACAAGTAATTCCAGCTGCTGTGAGATGTGCTGCCCTGAAATCCGACGAAGGTTTCCGAGAGGCAAATAGATAATTAGAGTTTCATTAAATTTTACTCGTTGATACACGTTCTACATCAATATCATTCAAAATTTGTAATACTTTCTAATTAATTCTGAGCTACGATTAAATCCAAACCTTGTGCTAATCACCGAGCAAACGTAGGCCACGATTTCACAGTCTTGAATCGTAACACGTTCCACCCCGATATCTTCCAGAATTTGTATTGTTTTCTGATAAAGCTTACCGTCGCCCTGTTCAGCTTCGATTTCGGATACATATTTGGTTGGGAAACAGTGCGGTTGAGATATGGAGTCATAATCTCCGTCGAATATTAGCTTTTCTCTAGCTAAATAAGCTAATACATAACGTACCAATTCACCCATATACATCCCAGAAATCATTTTTTCGAATACATGAAATCCTGGATTAATCGTTCGTTCATCCACTTGCGAATCGTAAATTGTTCGGATGAAATCTAAACACCCATCATCGCCAAATGCGCCCCATTCCATGTTAATAACCATCTCTTTCGGATATTTATCTTCATGAAACTTGAATTTCCTAAATTTCGGACAATTCGACAATTTTTCCATGTAACAAGCATTTGTACCAGTTCCAAGAATCACTCCAATTTGACACGTATTTTCTTTAAATGCGCATGCCATTAGGGTACCAACTGTATCGTTCAGTAAAGCTTCGATGTCTATATCTATATCTTTACGTCGATTACATGCATCACGTAACAACTGTACCACATCTTTACCTTGTACTCCGCTTGCACTAAATCCCTTGCTCCAGTGCATTAGTATTCCGGATGTCAAACCTTCTTGTGACACGGGAAATGAAAATGTAAAACCAAGTGGTAATTTGTTTGCACCTTTCAGGTCATTATCTTCCATGAAATTAGCCAGACACGCGGCAATATGATCGAAAAGCATAATTCCAGTGCCTTTCATCATAGCATCCGGCACACTATAAATCTTCCCCATAATTTCAGCTTCGGTACCACTTAAGCGTATAAGCAAAACGCGGAAATTAGTGCCACCTAAATCCAAGGCTAAATAATCTCCTTTCTCGGTACCATTTGGAACAGCTCTTACAAACGACGGCAACATTTTCAGACACGATTTCACACCAGGTTGATCGCTCAATCCTTTTTCCATTTTATTGTGCATTTCTTGCATAACACGTCTTAATTGATTATCAGACAATATCAATGGTTTGCAAAATTCCTGAATTTTCTCAAACTGACCATCATTTCTTTGGCCAGATAATGATGTTTCACGAGTCATATCCCTTGTTTTGCTAAAAAATTACAAATGAAAGATATCTCAAATTTTAATTGAAAGATATCAAAAGAAATCGAACTTCATTTTTGATTAAACAAATTCTGTCTAACCCACCTTGTCTAAGGAAGATAAGAGAAATGAATCGAGTCTTCCAATATCTTTCGGTTTTTCCTTGAGTAACCAGAAATTTGCATATTAAATACGAATTCAAAAATAAATTATCAATCAATTTTTTCAGTCTCTTTCACTTTTTTCAAGCCGAGAAATATTTGCAATATGCAAGTGCAGGAATAACTTAAGGAATATTCAGCATGAAGCGCAGGTTCCCTTTGTTGCACTAAACATATAATGTTTGAAGATAATTTTGAATTACATCGTACGAAACATCAACTTAATTGCTTGATTGGAAAAAATAACTTTTTAACTTATAAATGAACTTTTACGTTATTACATAAATACTGAATAAATGACTTCACGATACATAAAAGTAAATCCTATTGATCAAAAAATGCGAAGTATATCTAATAGATGCCAATTTTTCTAGAAGAATTAAACAAATGTCTCGTAGATCTTTTTCCGGATGAATTTCTGATCACTGAGATACCTAATAATGGCACAAAATTCGAATTAAGTAATGAATGAAGAATGTATCTACTGATCGTTAAATTTGCACCAAAGACACGAAGTTATTCAGAAAAAGTAAAATGCGAAAAATTAGCTAAACAAAATTAGAAAGATGAAAAAAAGCAAATACAAAAAAGGCAATAAATTAGTACAAATTAACAAATTTGTTAATTCTTTTCTTTGATCCATTCATTGTTTTTCTTTGCTTCATTTTAGGTTTTTTAGATTTTATTTCTGATTATTTCATTTCTTCCCTTTTTTCATTTTCCTAATTTTCGGAAACTATTTTCCACCAATTTTTTTTTGTTTTTTGTTTCTCTTTTTTTCTTTTTCCCATTCTTTTTAGTTTTATTTCTTTTTCTGTTTCTTCATCAGTTTTTTTTTTCACTTTGTTAATACAATAAAACCAAAAATAAAATCTAAACGTTAGCAAAAAAAAGATTGCTGAGTTTTAAGTGAAAAATTTCAAAAGAAAAATAGACAGAGGTCTCAGTTTGGCTGCTTTGCATAAAAATTATTTATTTTCAAATTTATTTTAATCCTTTATTACTCTCAGTCATGGCTGGGTTGGTTCAATTTTTGCTCCATTCATTCAGCCAACCTCATTTCTATATTTTGTCATATGGTTTCTCACTAACTGGATTTCCAGTTTTTGCCATCATGCGGATATGCTTTAAGAAGTATAACTGGAAGGTAAACTGAGACAAATTCATCATCTGATCAGTTTGTTACAGCTTGAAACAATATTACGAACATTCAGTTAAACCTTCAGCTCAGCTGGGTCGATCAGTAAAATGCCCGAAACTATATGGAGTCGTGGAACTCGAAGTAAGAATAGTAGATTTAAGGCAACTTGAAAGTTTCATTTGTTGAGTCATACAGAAACTTTCTCCCTAAATTATTCACCTCAATAATGATAATGAAATATGCAAGATATATTCGCAGCTACTCTTGAAGTTTCGTTACTTTTTGAACCAATCTGGTGAGATATTCAATGACTACCACTTTTGATACATTACAGATTGAAGTAACGGAATTGCTGGAAAATATTTCAATCGCCCTGCATTATTTACAAAAACTAGATTTATTTTCTGCAACCAATTGCGAACTGCGAATTTTCCAGAAAGACATCACAGCACTGACAGGCGCAGTAACAAATCTCAAATACAAAATACAGAAAACATTCAAAGATATCACTTTCCAGTATAAATTCTTTCTTTTAATTTCAGTTTTTTAGACAATATACTCATGAGGAATAATATAGTGCTCATTTCCACGAAATAAAGTTCCACCTTGTCCAGCTAATTACCTGTTTATTATTTACTTAATCAAAAATTGCCAAGTTTTCATCGAAACTGTTTTAATTGCAGGGAAGATATCCAGTGTTTAACATCAAGTAAAGAGAGTATTTGCGGGCTAAGTTCGAAAGAAATGGCGGATAAAACATGGCGTAATATCCAAGAACCTAAAGAACTAGATGAAACACAAAGTGAATCCGTCGTTTTTCATCACCGTTTCGCAGCTGGCTCTTCCATTATTGCTTCCGAAGGACATCTACGACAGGAAGAAGTAAGACTAAAGGGAAAAAAAAAGAAACCTGGAAAAACCGATCCAAGTGTCTTCGAAGAGATTATTCAAGATTCCGGGTACAATAATTTGGAATCGAAGCAGTTGGCAAATCCGTCGAGCTATGATTTTTCAAACAATACTGAGGCCCCAACATTTCTCCTTTCCTCTAGAGAAGAAAATGTTAAAAAATGGAGGGAAATGAAAAATATAAAACCTAAAGAAATCAGATATTCAAAGAACATGAAGGAAATTGTTGAGCCAATGACATTTTTCAAGCCAGCCGATAAGTTTCAGTTTCAATCGAAACAAAACAAACAGATCATGAGTGACAAAAGGAAAATATTTCAAGTTAAAGAGAGAATCAATATCAGACAGGATTGAAAAGTTGCTGAAATAAAATAATTAATAAAAAAGTAAAAGTCAAATTAAAACAAAAGTTAGAGCGCTCGTTTGAATCAGGGTGACAAGTGTAAAGTTCAAATTGGGGAAAACTTTGTCAAGCTGCACCGCAATTTTTTTTTAACCATACATTAATCGAATCTCAAATATTTCATACAGCAATTCACAAATCTAAAACTTTATATTACATAATCCCAAAAGTTCTTCCGTTTGGTTAGCATCCGTACTTCTAAATCTCTTAGGAACACTTATAAAAGATCACAAAGAACTTACTGTTAAATAAAACAAAAAATCAGTTGAGTATTTTTGAACGTTGGCGGTGGAATGATGTTGTTGGAATGATGATTTGTTTTCACTCAGTCAAAATATGTAAAAAAATGAGGCATCCATTTTCATTCGGAGAAAAATGGACGATCATAGCAAAGATATTATTGGGAGGAAAATCTCACACATGAGATCCTGAAAAGTTGTCGCGAATGGTGAAATTTTAATTGCATATAGATTGTGTTATCATTGGCTAAATGGCATAGCACAATAACATCACTGTGTCATAGAATGCCTTAACATCCATTGCAACGGCTGAAGGAAATGGCGTCCAAAAATTAGTTGATAATTCGATGCGTTATAAAGATTGTGTTATATTTTTCTCTTTTCAGCTCGGTTGGTAATTGTTGTACAAGTATGTCGAGCCTTCCCTCATACTACAGCGATGTCACTATCAAAATCGAATTAAAAGATTCGATAAGATGAAGACAGTGAATACCTCTAAGACTAATTAGAACACTATCTTAGTGTTCTGAAAGATAATGTTCTTCCAAATGCGTTTACTATTGTATTCTGTCAAGTAATTAATAACTCACAACTGATCACCTTAACTCTTTCTGCATATTTTTGAAATTATAATTGCATTGAAAATAATTCTCAAACCGTATGGTTTAAAATTTATTACTTTCAGTGAATTTTTCACTCTTCTTTGTAAGATTAGACCGATGCTTCGTTTAGACGCATAAATTTATAAATTAGAAGTAAACAAGTGAGTCGAGTGTCGACGGAACGAGATGTTTAGGTGATGTCACAGGAAAGTAATGTTAGTCATCATAATAATATTATTATTAGCATTTGTCGCATGGATTCATATTTTCATGCCATTAGTAGCAAAACGATTTAACTTAAGCACCTGAGATGTCGCAATATCTGTCATCTGTCATGGAATTAAAGTTTACAATCAGTACCGAATAAAGAACAGGAATTATCGGTGATGTTCCACTGGGACCTCTTGGTTATCCTTCTTCCAACTTCGGAGACTATTATTCTCACACTTACTGTTAAACACACTTATTGAAAAGATGGAACCCTTGTTACTCACATTTCTTAATTCTTTAAAAAATGATTCGAAAGAATTTCGAGCTGTAACAAATCAGCAGCGGTCCTAGCACGGGAGTCGGTAGAAGCTGGGAAAGATGGTTGGTGTTGTAGGCTTTTATTCCTGCTAGTATTGGTTGCTTCGGTGCATGGTGGGTTCTGGTTGTGGTCCCAGTGGTGCGTTTACAGTTATTGGACGTGAGCGATATTGTTATTTTTCATGACTGTCTATCGGGAAAAATAACAGAGGTCGGTCTTCAACATTGTCATCTCACGTGACGATCCACCTCATTTCAATACCATTCCAGGTTCAGTTGACTAAAAACTTTACAAAGTTTTTACTTTGGTACTGGTTGCTCGGAGGAAAGTAGTCGATTGTGTGCACTACAATGAGAGACAAGGTTTTGCTTTTTTTATTTTTGTTTAGGGAGTTGTGGTTTTTTGACCTTACAGTTGTATAGGATAATGACATGTGTTTTTGTTGGAGTAGAAGGGGAAGTTTTCTCCTGACTTGGTAAACTTCTCACTGCCCTCAGCTTATTTTACATGTCTTTCCAGACATGATCACAGTCAAAGTGTATTAACCTTTATTATAACGATCTTTTCTATCACTAACATTTTTCAACCTTCATATATGAATATAAATGTAGAATACATTTGAAGGAGACTTGATCATTATTGCGGAACCTGAGATGCCGACATTAATCTTGTGAAGTGACTTATTTTGTAGTGGCTCTATTATGCATACTTTTAGTGGCGTAAAAAGCGTATGCGTCGGCTGAAGCGTAAGCGCAGGCAAGCGAAGAAGTGATTAATGTGGAGCCGAAGAAATGAGTCCTGAAATATACCTGTGAACTGGAATCGCCTTCAGTTTAAATCAGGATATTCATGTTTAGATAACCTCCGTTCTTCTTATCTATTTGAGACAATGTTGTTTATTTCCGTAACTACGCTGGAAAGCACCAAAAGGATTTAAACGTAATTTTTTGCAGTAACAAAAGAGAATTATCTCTTAAAATATTTTATTTTCTGATTATTCTGCTTTTTCACATATAATCAAATAGAGTTTGAAGGCATTGTTTGGAAGGCGGGCGAGGCTAGCTATCTCGTTCATTTCTTCTATTCATCGCTGTTTGCTCGTCTGATTTTCATGCTGTCTAATGATTGTTTCCATGTTATTAGCCTTACGCTTAATTGACAGAAGTTTCCACTGTTGCGCCAAAAGAAATAAAATATACACCATAGTTATTTTGCCCATAAAGTACATCCCATGTAATACATATCTTATATTTGTATGCGTGCAAGTGGATATAATTCTGAAATAATTCAGAGATAATGGTAGGGATGCAGTAATATAGATTTTGAGGTATGGACGTTTTATAGAGAATCTGCAATTTAGAAGACTGGAAGATGGCGATAAGTGTGTAGATTGTAGTTCTTGTTAATGTTTCTTTGAGAAGCAGTGAAGTTGACACAAAGGTAATGGAATATCCATGAATGGAGTGAAAGAGGTGTGGTACTTCAAGTCAATCTAGTAGTACAGAGACATGAAATTTAGTGCAGAAGTTTTTCACTCTCCTTTATCATGAGGAAAGCATAGCTCTTTCGATATGTTTCAATATTCTTTACTGTTTTCATCTCGATAAAATGCAATGGATGGTCGCAGTTTTGAGGAGGGGGAAATCAAGTCCCTTTCTTTTTCCGAAAGGCGGGTGAACAAACTATGCCAGTGGCCTTTGGTGTTGTTGTTCGCGTAGATCTGGGGATGAATTATGGCATTATTCATGCAAGCGGTTATGGACGTGTACTTATTTCGCGCAATTTCGACAAGGATTTGGTACAATTAAGCAGTTGGCTTTCAGTTGAAATTGAACCAAACACTGAACCTATTTTGGTAAGTGGGATGTGACATTGATCAGTGAGGGGTGTGTTGAATGATTGCCTTGTACATCTGTGAACTGGAATGAACACTAGTTATTCGGAATTAAAGCTTGTCAGCAAGAGTAATTACGGATGCGTACATTTTTCATGTTGCATTTATCAATTAGAGAATTCCTTGTGATTCGTTTGCATATATCTTTTCAGACATATGGGCGTACCTGCTGTAATTTTGTTGATGCCGGGGAACCAAAAGTTATCGATGAATTGTTGCCCACAGGCACCTCAGTTTCTAAGACGGGTGCAGTAAATTTGCGTATCCAGACACCAGTCTTCACAGGGAATATCACGTTTGGAAGTTGCGTTGGACTCAGCCCACATTTGGGTCGCATATATTTGAATAAAACTCGTTGGTTATCGATATGCTATAGATTTTTTGCATTCATCATCTATACTTACTAAATTTTTGTTCAGTTCTCAGAAATGTGACATTAGTCAGTAAAGGAAAGCACAAATAAGGAATCTACCACAAACCTCGCGCTTTGTTAGACGAAAAACTTCAGTCTGTTGATTTTGAGCATAATTGGATTACTCCTCATAACCTAGAGTGACTTGATGGGAGTTAGTAACTTTGGGAAGTTTGTTTTGTCAAAACACAAAGTTCATTTGCCTTCCTTCATGTACTTGCAAATCGTTTTCTGCAGTTTGCAAGAAGTTTAATGCAAGTCCGCTTACTTGGATACATTGCGGTGTTATATCAGTTGTGCCATGCGAAGATAACTTCAATTCGTTCTGGGAAGCTCGGACTGCTGGACGCGAGGATTCCGACGACCCAAAGCTCAACCGATGCATCAGACGATGCCTGGTAAGTTAAATTGAAACTTTTGATGATTTTTCGACAAGTTTACATGGTAAGGAAAATTCATTTCCAAAGTTGCATATACGTACAGAATTTGATGATTCCGTTATTGTTAGCTGTCTCTAGGGCTAGTGCAACTTTTTGGATAAAAAGAAAATATGCAGTTTAACAATAATGAAAAGGGAAAGCAGAGGAAACTTTTTACAAAAACATTAGGTTTAATTAAATTAGTACATTACTGAATACGGAATGATTATGATTTAATCACAACTTGGGTACAAGTGGAAATGTACTAATTACCAAAAGTGCAGTATCCTGTGGTTTTTGATTAATTTAAAAAATTATGGCATATCTTAATATTGAAATTCATTTCGGAACATCCGTGGAAACTGAGAAACGCCATTGAAACCACCAGAATGCATTCATACAATTAATTCAGTGCTTTAACATTTGTTAAGTACTGCTGTAAATACGTACTTCTGACTTTCAGTACTTAGGTGAAAGACAAAAATAGAATTAATGTTGATTCATTAACAATAGATTAGTCGTAGGATGCTTTGTACCGATGTTGCATTCATTTTTGTCTATTTTCAGGGTCGATTTCATGCTTTCAAGGAAAAAAACATTTGTATTTTACAGTTGTTTGATAGACACAATAAAGACAGAAGCTTTGCATATGTTCATTCATTTGATTTTGCTCACACTGTTTGTGAAGAAGATTTGAAAAAAGCTCGAGCCATTCAGGTGAGCCATTCTACCGATGGTACCATAACATTTCTGCAGATTTAAATTAGCATATCGTCTTAGTACAGGTCGATAACGATCCGGTAATGTTGAAACGTACTTGAACATTTTCTCAGAACTTCTTAACAACTCTAGAAATCGCTGGCAATTCGGACCATCGGCAATCTGATCAGTGAGTGACTTCGTCGGATAGAAAATCGGTTTAACATCTAGCGTTTTTTTTTTTTGAAAAACGTGCATGTTGTTACACTGAATATTGAAGCAATTTTAATGTTCATAAATATTTATAATGAAGATGATACCATCTGCTTAAGCACTTGATAATGAAGATTTTACTTCTGTTTATAGAATTGATCAAGCTTTAATGTACAGATGAGAAATGATATCTTTTTTTCAAAGGACGATTTATTTTATATGCTGCTATCTTTTTAGGTTTACGTTGCTCCACAACTTGTGTACTTCCCTGATTATCCTGTCCTTGCATGTTATGCGCGTGTCGTTGATGACGGTTCACAAGATGTACAGGTTGGAGTAACAGAGAAGAAATTTTCCGTACTCGATATTTCTGCTACGATGGACGAAAGCAATGATGTTGCCAGAAGCGATGAACCGATGGCTGTTGAGGATACGGTGAAAAAGAACGTTAGCTTGTTTTTTGTCTTTATGTTTTTGAATTTGTATTTCAGTTCGAATTAGATGTAATTTGTAATTTGGATTTTCAACAAAGTCTTTTGAGTTCAAGTTGCATATACTTGTATACTTCAGTCGGTTTTGTAATCGAGATTTGGGTTGACTGAGTACTTTTCTTAGAAGATTATATGGAATCAAAGGAGATTTCGAGGTTGAAAGATCATACATTCCACTGTTGTAGTTATTGTATTTTCATTGTGAACTAACTCGTAATATGTGTATTTCTGGTTCTAGGATTTAATTTGTGATCAGGATTGCGAAACGATTGATTTCATCAGTAAGTTGTTGGCGTATCAGTTAGTGGCTAAAAATATCAAAAAGATCGACCGAGTTCTTTTTAATGATTTATGTGCTTTTATCGCAAAGTATACTTGATTTGTTTGCATATTTTATTATATGTTTTAATCTTCGATGTACCTTCTTGTATAATTCCTGAATAATTGTAATGTTCGTCTTTATAACGTTATTATAAAGAGCAACAGCTTTATTTGCCAAAGGCTGTTGGAATGATGCAACCTTATGCTCCAGATTAACGCCACAAAACAATTGGCATGTTATGATTTGCCCACAGCGGTAATACTTGAATTTGATATAGTTAAGATTCTTGTACATTTTATGAGTTTTAATGTAGATTGTTCACGAATGTTATCTCCATAGGTCAACGTTTTTGAAACTTTACTTGTCAGTAAAATATACAAACAGTCTTAAACAATTTATATGTGTTATTTTGTTTCCGATCTTATTTTTTAATTTTCCATGATTAAATAAATTATTTCCGTTCGGGTTAATTTTCCAAACCTATGTGATTACATCAGCACCAAATTTCTAGTTCCTTACATTTCGTGTGAAATGTAATCTGTTTCCATGGTTCTGTTTGTTAGGGTTCAGTTTTGTAAACCAGAATTTTTTACCATCGTTTTACCTAGGCAATCAAATACTTGTGAGGTTTTAATACAGAAGGTGGAGTAATGTGCGTCAAGTTTTACTTTGAGTAAATTGCAGTGTTTCGTGGAAGTTTGAAAAAAAGTGAGTTGTGCATCCCAGCGTTATTTCAACTGGCTAAAATATAACTGTTTCTTTGCCATCAAAATTTGATAGTTGGTATTTGACTTGGATGAATTGATGCCAAGTTGGCTGTAAATATTTTGCCTACTCTTATAATTGCGGCTGGGAGAGCATAGTGTAGACGAGAAGCTGAAGGGATGTTATTTTAGCTATGTTGGTTGTGACTTACAATGTGTTGCTTTTTAAGTTTTAGTGGAGATTTACCTTCAGTTAGCCTTCAATCATGGCAGACGATTACTCGACGCAATTGAAGAAGGTATGTTCATACTCATATAAGCGTCGAATTCTTCTCAGTGTTGGTGTTGATTGACATTTAGTAAATATTGATTTAATTCACTGCTAAGCCTTACCTCGTGTTGGAATGCTGTATGTGTAATTTTGTTAGCAAAAAAGCAGGATAAAAAGGATTGTTTATACTACAGCGATTGTGCATGCTGAAGGATTGTTCGTAATACAAGTGTCGCGCTTGTATTGTTTATTCTTGAAAAAAAAATGTGACATCCACCTTCATTCATCATGCATGTAGAGTCTTTCTTTTTTTCGTAACTAATGTGATGATTTCCCAATTCCAATTGTAGGCGTTCAGAGAGTTACAAATCAAGGTGGTTGACACAAATCGTCGTTTACAACTTGGTGATTCATTAAAGAGGCAACAGGAGCAGGTATTTTGCCATTCGCATATAAGATTTTTTGCTCAAAAAATAATTTAATATAGTAACAGATTCTGATTTATCGTGCTTCAAGGCGACGGTTTAGTAACGGCCGGAGTTGGCACCATTTTCGAGCCTATATTCTCCTCTATATTGGAACAACAATGCAAAACAGGCGATTGCAAATAAAAAACATATTTCATTTTGCTATTTCTAGAAACGACGGATAGCGGAGCTAACCAAAACACAACTTTTGGAGTTGGACAAAAACACCCCTGTATATATGACTATTGGCCGAATATTTGCCAAAGGAACAGTGGAGTCGGAGATCGCACGGCATGAAAAAGAAGTAAGTTGGTAGAAAGTTCAAAATATTTTAGTTTTGCTTCATTTAATTTGGGAGAATACCTTCATCGCATTGTTATTAGTAAAATGCAGTTAATTTTGAAACAACTAGTAATGGGCGTTTCATCGTCTCCTGGAAGGTAACGTAGAATTTTTCTAAAACTACCTAATATTGAGTAGGCCACTCGACTATGATTTTCTTTATAATAATGTCGACCATATTTTAGCTCGAGTTATTGGGCAAGAGTTTATATTCACAATAGCTGTTAAGGTTTTGAATGGAGAAATCATTTCAGAATAGTCGAAATTTTCATGTATCCTAATATAAACTTTATTTTGGAGATTGTCCAATTATTTTGAGGACTTCATTTGTAGATTGTGAAAGCAGAAGAAAAAATAGCTGCAATCGATCATCAAAGGAAATATCTGGAGAAGAATTTAGCCGAATCAGAGAAGAACATTAGAGAATTAGTGCAATCGCGACCATGATTAATTTTACTTTGTGTAATTTTGTCGCTAATAAATTCCGCATTTAGTACTCTGCTTCATTAACATTTTCAATAAAGCTTGAAATTTCGAACTTTTTTGTTGTACTTTTCAAAGTTTACACCTAATTATTTCCATTTTTAGTTCTTGAAATATGATTGTTCATCCTCGTTTAGCTATAATGTCAACAATGGTGGTACATCAGGTTGGCTAGAACGTAAAAGGTTTCATGCCGGGCACTGCTTTTAGTTTGTACAGATTTCGAACTCTATTCTCTTTGTATCTCTGTCTCTTCTTTAATACCACTCTTTTGGTATGTTGTGTGTCTGATCATCATACTAAACCGGTCTCCTTCTACAACGTTTAGACATTAGATGCCAGCTTTAATTGCTATTCATTTCTGGCTTCAAACAGTTCATGAGCAACATAAAGTCACGAATTTAACTTCGTGTGAAAACACTTGCATATATGAAACATTTACAAATAACATTGAAATATGAGCCAGGGATATTCCTCTTAATGATGAATAATAAATAATAGTGATGAGTGTATAGAGGTCCTTTGACTATCTGTAAGTTCATTTACTTCTTAGGAATTGGATGAACTGCAGTCGGATATGTGGGTTTTCCTTAGATTCTTTGCCATTAAATGTCAAATTGCGAGCAATCACCACGGGGGGACATCACGTCTAAAGTTGCTATTTTTCTCACAGCTGGAGGCTTGTTTTGTGTTAATTTATTTAACGTTTCTTCAACTATTTAACGTTTCGACTGTATCCCATAAACTTTTGATTTGTCTTCACGTTCTTTATTCTTTTTTTGTATATGAAACTAAACTTATAGAAATATTTTGGAAAACAGTGCAAAATGATTATACCGATACGTTGCTTCACGTGTGGTAAGGTTATTGGTAACAAATGGGATGCTTACCTGGGATTGCTGCAAGCAGAATATTCAGAAGGCTAGTAATTCAGCATTTCAGATTTTTGGATTCAGTATATTATTGGAAGTTGTGAAGGCGGTGATCTTATTCAGTGGTAAATTCATAGCTGATTCTGAAGTGAAGTTTGTTTCAAAATTCAAAGTTAAGAATTGAAATCAGCTGGAGTTCGAAATACAACTACTAGAAAGAATTTAAATTATTGCCGATATTATTGTGCTAGGAAGAATTTGATGAAGATGTGTATTGCTGTGCCTAGACAAAATCATCAATACTTAGACAAATTTGATGGATGAATTTTTTGTTCTGATTTCAGGTGATGCTCTCGATGCATTAAATTTACGCCGTTATTGTTGCCGAAGAATGCTTCTGTCACATGTTGATTTAATTGTCAAGCTGCTCGATTATCATCCTTTAGAGAAATGATTACGCTTCTACATTACTATTCACATATTACGCTTTTATATTATTTCTAGAAAAAAAATTGTTATATGTTGTAATATTCGTACTTTTTTTTGTTCAGTATCCCTATCCACTGTGTATTACTATTACTGTTTCTGAAGTTTGTGAAGGTTAATTGCAGGACAATTGAATATTTTTCAAGATCCAGTACAAATAAAGATTTTCCAACTCGTCTTGTAAATTATTTGACCATTTTTGTTTCTGTTCGTAATTTATATTCCATAATGCTCGTATTAGCTTAACACTTCTAATTCGATTTCATGACCTAGTAGTTTTTGTTTCTAGTAGTTTTTTTATAGTATAGTAACTTGTTGAAACTACGGAAACTGGTCCACTGTTCCAGATGCTTAATGTATTCCTTATTTAGCTAGGTTTGGGAGGTAGTTGGTAACTGCTAAAAGTTGGTTCACTTATAAAATATGTACTAGTTAATTTACAAATTAAACTATTGAAGTTGAGCATATGTCGAAGTCCTGTTCATCAATTCAAGAACACTTATATAACTTTTATCGTACCAGTCTTCCCTACCCTTCTGTCTTTGTGCCTCTCTCTCTCTCTCACTACACCGAGTTCGTCATTATTCCAAGTCTGGTTGGAATGAGAACATTTCTATATTTTTTAAGATTTTGCCATCGTATGATAAAAAGTCCTTGTCCTTTTGATATACTACACGTGAAGTAAGGAACAATTTCTTCTGGATTGACGGTAACATTTATAAGAGGTTGAAATTGGTACACCGATGTGATGATTAGTTCATCTACATTAAACTCCAATCGGAAGCCTGTTTCACTGGGAAGGTTTTTTTTTTATAAAATGCTGAGATTTGAACAGTTTGTTCGTGTGAAAAATAGATGCATTTCTGAGCTCTTGGTTCTTAATAAACTGCTGGTCTAAGATAGTCATCTAGTTCAAGGCATAAGCTATTCCCTTTTGTTAATAAGTTCAGTCACAGTTTAGCTAAATGGTCAGTTTAACAAATAAGATTGGTTTATTTATTTTGCTTTACTTATTTTTATTGACCAAATATATATTTTATCATTCTAGTTTTTTTCCGTTATTTTAATTCTCTTATATTGTTTTCCTTTGCTTTTTTTTTGGCAATTTTTTGAAAAATTTTCGAGTTATTCCATCTTATTGATTTGCTGACTGATCGATACACGGGAATTGTTTTAATGATGAAAGAAAGGGATTTCTATTATAAAGCAAAAAAAAAAAATAATGAGATGTTTATAGAGTTTTGAAATTGAATTTCCAGTTTTGCTTCTCCTTATTAGAAATTATTGAGCAAAAACGAGGAAAAAGAGAGAGGCTTTTTTGCTACATTTTAGACTATTCATCCACCAAAATTTTACATATGCTATATTTTAGACTATTCATCCACCGGAATTTTCCGCATGCTTCACCATTCCTAAGTTGAAAATATGAATAAGCGCTAGAGTCTAGTTTTTAATTAACTAATTGAACATTTAAGGAATAATATGATCAGGAATGTAGTTTAGAGTGCACAGTGATTTTAAGAAAACATACGTTATTCAGCTTTTTTTGTCTTGCAGTCTTGCGATATCTTGAATTATATGGCGCATTAATTTTTTTCTACGAGTGTCATATAATGTATTTTAGACCAGTTGCTTCTCACTAATGTTCTTGTCATGATCGCTGGCGATTGTCCACCACCAAAATATGAAGAAATTCCTAAGAATGATAACGACAATTCTAACTTCACCGACACCACTACTGTTCCTTCGTTTCCTCCGCCATTACCACCGTTAACAACAACAAACATAACGAACACCAATGAAAATATCGCTACTGCTATGCCATTCCGTGTTAACTTAATTTCCTCAACTGCGCCTACTTTTGGACCGAATCCCATTGAAACCGATTGTCCATATTGTCAGGTTTGTAGTCGTTTATTTAAAATTTCAAAGTTTAAACAAAATCTAGACTTGATGTAATGTTATATGCTATTCCGAAGTATTCAAATGAGAAAATACTTATTGCAACTACCACTAATCTTGCCTCATTGTCATTTAATTTGATTTCTCCTACGTTGATTTTTCTATTGGGCGCTTTGAATATTAGAGATTAAAATGCAAACAAACAATATCTTATTTAATTCTTTGAAACTTTCTTTGGAAAATTCATCATTTTGAACAGGCGCATGTTGTAACATCAATACAAAGGATAGTCGGTGCGTTACCGTGGATTGTTATGGGAATATGCTTTCTTCTTGGTTTCTTTCTACTTCTCCCATGGTGCCTTTGTTGTATCCCGTTCTACATGGATAATTGTCGGGATGTCGTTCATTCATGTCCATCTTGCAAGCGGGCCCTTGGACGTTTTACTAGGATATAAAAACATTGTGATCGATATTCCTGAATATATGCACTTTAGTGGTTTGCTAACTGTCTTATATTTATTTACGGTTACTTCCCTCTTATCAAATTTTGCAGTCAAATCATGTTGTAGTTCAAACATTTACTCGCTTTAATGATAAAGTTAAGTTCTTTAAGTTTTACAACCCATAGGTATTCCCATTTCGGTATTGCCAGGTATTTTGTTGGGCGCTCTGAACGTATATGTATATTCAGGACAAATCGTGGCTTCATTTATGTTTTTCATGAATTTTCCAGTTTTTAAGAATACTTGTATCACCGTATTTTCCTAAGTGTCAGTTTTCGGCTTTTTTCGATTAGTTACAATGTGTTTTTTCCATTTGTAAACTATTTGAACCATTGTATGCTTTCTTTCATTCTGGTACGAACTTCTAGATTTTGTTAAAATTATACACAGCTGAAGGATTTGAAACCAGACTTGAACAATATGGTGCTGTTTAGCTCGGGTCAGGTCATTCTTAACGTTTATTACTAAGCTTTGTTGCTTTATGTGTCCTAATTGAAAGGTGAAAAGTGGCCAAGAAGAAAGATATTAGAACGCTTTTCAATCGGTATTGTTAAAAGTTTTTGCTGAAATCTATATCTTGCAAGTGATTAATCAAAATGATTGTTAGGAAAGGATAAACAATAGAAGGAAGCAATTCAAAGTAGCCGTTGTTTGAAAATGTGTAAAAACATGAATTTACAGCTTTAAATGCAAATAATGGTTGTATTCAGGTTAACCAGATCATAATTTTTATGTTTTTTAAAGCACTTCCAACTTTTTATTTCGTCCACCAAAAAACCCTTATAATTTTGTCATCATCTTATATCTTTGTATCAATTTTTCATCATCTCAGTGTTCTTGTTAACATCATTGTTTAATGGTGTGGATCGCCGAAATCTTCACAATATATTTTTCCAAAGCTAACCGGTTGTTTTAAGAAGTATGAAAAATGAATTGTTCTTCACTTGATTATTTCAAGAAATGTGAAGGGCTGGAAGTTAAATCAATAAAATTAGCTTGAGTATTCTACTTAGTACATATGATGTCACATTAGTCTCACACTTTTTTATTCTCTTGGTTATCGGTTATCGCGTTTCACTACTTTCAAATATCCGTATACCTACGGGACCGTTAATTGGCCTTTTTTTTGGTATGTATCACTTGGCGATAACTTACTGGCAAGGTCCATGTTTACTTCACAAATTCTTTTCCTCGTCGTGAACGCCTTCCAAAAAAAAAAAAAAAACGGTGAAGGAATAAGCTTTCTAAACGATTTTTCAATTTGCATAATCTGTATGCGGAATTGATCCTTTGATCAGATTGTTTAAGCTTAAGAATTTCGAAAGTTTGTATAAAACTAATTGTTATGCAAATATTTAAATATATAGGCAGAATTTCATGTCAACGGAATATTAGGCATTTCATCGTAGAAAAAAAAAAAAAAAAGAAAAAATAGATGAAGTTAGAAGGTCACTATTTGCTTTTACCCAGTCGTCGATAGATTCCGATCCAGGCTTTGCAATTGGAGCAGTAATGATGCGCATCTTTGAATGTGTCGACGAGGAATGGTACCCAAAGGAAAAATAAAGGCAGAATGAAAACGCCAACCATCAGGATAATTAGAAAACTAATCCACGTGAAGAGACCAACAGTAAATTTCACTTCGGTTGTATTGTGGACCTGTAATGATAAATCAATCATCTTGATAATATTTTCACAACTCTCGATATCATTATCTTCTTCTGATAGATGGTAAAGATGATGGGTTATTAGCTCTATTGTAAAATAAATTAGGGAACAAAGTACAACTTCATACATTTTGGAAATGCGGTCAATAAGCATATGATCAACCAAATTAACGAAATTGAATTTATAATTAAAATTTGGTTCTGCAACGTCTGTTACCCAATATCGCTGCACTGTCATGACTATTATCATTCCAATACATTTAGCTGTCAGCAAAATTTTACTGTTCTAGAGGGAAATGAATGCTAGTACTCCTTTATTTATCAGTCTGAAAATGATAAAATGTATTAATTACAGAAAATCTGCTTTTACCTTACAGTAAGGACAATCAATAAACTGTGAATGATCCGATAGATATTCTTTTATGTTAACCACCATGCTGGGTGTATGACTGATCGATCGATGAAGTGTTGTCGGAGTTTGTTGGGATTGCTCGAGAAGCATTGTGTTCGATTACCAGTATTTCCTATAAGGTCGCTGTAAAAATGCCACAAATGAGGATGAAGTAAATGGTGGAAGAAAAATCTCAAAACTCCGCTGCTGACTTCTGGTGAAGCTATTTACTTTGTTCCTGTTTGACAACACCAACTCGTTCCAATGCTGAAAAAACTTGTCCTGATACTCTTGAAAGTATCTCTGCTTACTGCTTCGTCTATCGAATTTACTACCCCTGTGGTGACAGTATATCACTAAAAGATTACCTCTTGACAGAATATCTGCACTTACCACGAACAAGATGTTAATTTGACACAGGATGCAGTTGCGACAGTCAAAAATTAATCTTTTTTTCGAGGGGAAATTTGAAGAGCTGGCATATATATGCCTGTTTTCCATAGAAGACTACTAGAAACTAGTGAGTCTTGTAAATAGTTTGAAATGTTGAAATTCCGTGACGATGCTAAGGTATAGCTATTCTCACCTTTTGCTTTAATTTAATAGGAAAATCCAACAATTGTTCTATTTCATAGCAAGTTAAAGTGATGAATTAATGAATAAGCGGTTCAGCAAGCTTTTTCAAGAACACTGTTCTTCAAGCGCAATTATTGGTTAATCATTCCAATTAATTGATTAGTCGACTTAAGTTATCCGGTTCTAATTACTACCTCCAAGTATCAATTTCAACTATTTTATTTCCTTGCTTCTAATTTACCTTCTCATAAATCATCCCTGCTATCTCTGGGAGTATTTCATTTGGGATTAAGTTGTTACACACCGCGTCCTACGCATTTCAAATATTTCTCTCGAAAGTTCCATTGTAGTAGTGATTGGCATGAGGGAGGGGGGGAGGGGGGGTGCGCGTGACACGTTCCTGGTTAGGTGGTTTTTAACTTCTGGCTCTGTTATTACTTGAGTAAGTTCAATGGGGAGCTTTCCTTATCTTTATCTTACAAGTGCCGAAATAGCATTTCTCTTGATATCATGGGATTTGAGTTTGATTGATTTTTAATATTTCGCTTTAAAATTATTCAAATTTGGATGAGGGAACTTATGTAAGGCTTCTTATTGGGACCTGAACCCTTTTCAGTCGTTTTCGCTGGAGACTTTACATATGCATATATACATATTCTATCATATGCCGTATGAGAAAATTAATCCGGCACTTCCATGAGTAATTTCTTCTGCAAAATGATGTTTTAGCACTTTGTTGTGTCATAACCATCAGTACAAGTCATTCAGCGATAAACTGGAGAAATAGTTTGACATTTGTGTTGTAAGCTGCTTCCTAGCTTCGTGCTTACTCACTGTAAGGTTTAGCTATAGAACTACTAAAATCAAATTAAGACCGTCTCTTTTAATTCATTACTTTGCAGTATTTTGAAATAAAGCAATGGTAAAAGAAACGAAATACTACGATATTTTGGGCGTTTCGCCTACCGCAACCGAAAGTGAACTGAAAAAGGCATACAGAAAGTTGGCACTCAAGTACCATCCGGATAAGAATCCTAATGAGGGCGAGCGATTTAAACTGATTTCACAGGCATATGAGGTTTTCCATTTTTTTCATAACCGTCTCTACGTGAATATAAAAATAGACTTTTTTCTCATAGGAGTAAATTTTGCATTTTGTAACAAACATTTTGGTCAATTAATTCACGGATTCAAGGTTTTATCGGATCCGAAGAAAAGGCAGTTATATGACGAAGGTGGTGAAGAAGGTCTAAGTGGAGCAGGTGGCGGCGGAAATTTCCATAATCCAATGGACATTTTCGATATGTTTTTCGGAGGTAACCTCATGCTTCTCATTCCATTACATCGATTAGGAGTGAATTAATCATTCCTTATCATTTGATGCAAAGATACATTGTTTGGTACCAAATCTGAAGAATATATCAGGAAATCGAAACAACTGGCTTGCTGTACATTATGAAAATGAATCATTCTTTTCTTTGTATAGTGCAATATAAATTAAGCTTTAGTAAATTTGCAATAAGATCAGGAGCGAACACTTACATATAATAATTTGTTTGTTTATTTATAATAATTGCATATCTATATAACAATTTTTGCACATTTTTAACCGGATTAATCGATTTCTGAATTTAGGGCATTTCCGAGGAAGTGAAAGAGGTGAACGTAAAGTACGTGATATGATACATCAATTACCGGTGACGCTAGAACAATTATATAACGGAGCTGTGAAAAAACTTAAGCTTTCACGTAATATTGTCTGTCCGGAATGTGGAGGTGTTGGTGGGACAAAGGTATAGTAGTACTAATTCTGTTACAAGAATAAAGCCTACACGTCTTCTGTAAAAGAAAATAATGTGGACTTTAGGTTGGCTTCCGCATTTAGTTGAATTTAACAGTTGAGTTTCAATTTCAGGGTTGCGTAATTCGTTGTGAGACTTGTAAAGGTCGAGGCGTACGGATCGAAATTACGCAAATTGGACCTGGTATGGTGCAGCAAATGCAGTCGACATGTAATGTTTGCCGAGGTGAAGGCGAAGTAATACCTTCGAAAGATCGGTGTAAGCAGTGCGACGGAAAAAAGAAGGTTGCTCATATATCGCTTTGAACTTGAAAAAATTCTTATGTAATTTTTAGCTGCATACCGACTCGTCCTGGACACAAGAAACTTTGAAGTGCTTTCAGAATGAACTAATCAGTATATAGGAGGTGATATGGATAACACTTGAAACTACAGAATCCTTCGTCAAGTGGATAGTAATGTCGCTATTGTCTTCAAGAATTTATCTTTCACTTATACTTCCAGATCCGAAATGAGTCTGTTTTGGAAGTTCATATTGATAAAGGAATGAAGGACGGACAGAAAATAGTGTTCTCAGGACAAGGCGACCAAGAAGTATGCTCATGAATTTGCACGTTATTTCTTCCAAGTTACTCCAGTTGTTAAGATTTCTTTTTATGTTTTGTCTTTACAAAATTGTCTAGAACTGAGTTTCGAATAATTGCGGTATTCGTTGAAAGCATCTGCAAGATATTTTCTTTTTCTCTACTCATGAAAAATGGTGCAGCATTCACCTAATCCACTTTGGTAGCACATGATACAGATTTACTGTTGAAGCTTACCGTTTCCTTATCACCACTCTTTCATTTGACAGCTGTAAACAGTATACAGTTTAGGTTGGAATAACTCCTGGTGATGTAGTGATTATTTTGGATGAGCAACCACATAACACATTTGTACGGAAAGGACACAATCTTGTAATGCAAGTTGATCTCGAATTGGTAGAAGCACTTTGTGGATGCACGAGATCAGTAGCAACACTAGATACTCGTCATCTTGTCTTTTCGACATTTCCGGGTTTCCTTTTTAATTTTTTGATATTCTCAATCTTTTCAAATCTCATGATTTTTCATATAAAAAGCACTGCATTAGATTTTAATGGATTCGTGACATGAATGTAGTAGAGTATCATTCCTCACACTTGTAATTTGAAGGATGATTTCTTTTAGTTTGACGCAGATCTCGATATATTTTCATTAGCGTTTGGGAACTGCACAGTTTTGGGTCTCTTTTTGCGTCATCACAAAAAATCTTTGTTAGTGCTAGAGTGATTTCAGATAATGAAGAAACTTTACTCTTTCCAGGGGAAGTGATGAAGCATGGCGATATACGTACGATAATTGGTGAAGGTATGCCACACTATAAGAACCCTTTCGAGAAAGGTGACCTACTTATTCAGTTCGCCGTGCGATTTCCGAAAAAAATTGCGCAAGTTAAGCAGTTGAAGAACTTACTACCAGATGGTACAGAACCGTTATTATCAGATGATGCGGAAGTTGTAGAATTAGAAGTAATTCATGACCATGGGCCTCGTCCATCATCATCTTATGAAAATGAAACACATGGACCCCAAGGTGTGCGATGTCAGACCCAGTGACTGCCAACTGCACCTTTTGTAGCGATTTATGTTACTGGTTCACAGGGACAAAAATTTAGAAGATTGAGGATTCAAAAAATCTTTGCTTTTAAATAATATTGGGGGGCAAGGTAAATTCTAAAATTCCAGACTACAGGAATCCTTAAAAAGATTTTTTGTTGATGAAACGCTCGAAAATAGGAAAGATAATTTTAAAATGCATTTTATTCGGAACATTATTTCTTGCTGTGACCATCTTCGTGTTTTTGTATTATGGCTGACAGTAAATGTAGGACATAAAATACGATTTCGCTACGGCGTCCCTCATTATGACATGTTTTGTCTTATGAATCTGATAAATGCTTAAATAACGATGGTGATGATGCAGTTGTATTTCACTGAGTTTTAGTTTTTCCAAAGTATTACGATTTCAGATACGAAATATCTAGATACTCAATAAAGTAATACATAATTTTCTGGATAAGGTCGGACGCTAAACGTAAAACCTTGGAAAAAAATATTTATTCTTTTGATTAAGATGTCAATAGTTGATCATTAGTTGGTTATTAGAGGAAAATCTTGGTTTAAGTGAAGCCCTTGATAGTGTGGTTGTTATGCATGAACACAGTTGAGCTGTTTTAGCTGTTGTTGGGTAAGTTGTCAAGCTTAGGAAGGGCGATATTGCGGCTGTGGAAATCGATCAGTCTTGGGGGACTTCATGTATTCTGAATATGGGGAATACACGAAGAATTATTTCTCGTTTCCATAGTAAATACTACTGCTACTGCTAACTTGTTCTTTTGTCCAAGCTTTCCAGTTTCTCATGAATGCATCATCTGCATATTTTGTGACTATCGTGGCTCATGGGACAATGTTAGTGATGGCGTTATCAGAAATGAATGGTTAGGCGCTCTAGTTCTTTTGATCTTCATGTTTGCTTAAGTTTATTTATCTCGAAGGGGAGATTTAGAGGACACAAAGATCTCAAAGTGTAGGTTGGTGTTTCTGTATCTTCGGTGTTGCTGCTATTTCTGATTTGCCAGAAAAAATGGAGACAGTGGAACCAACGTTAACTTTAAAATGGTCATTTTTAAGCTAAATTTATGCTCATTACAGGGCATTACGTTCGCTTAATTTTCAGAATACGTGATGGCAACACTACCCTTGACAGACTGGACCGAACGTGAGTATGCGGATGTGGAAACATCACTAACGGTCGCAATCAGTCTCGGGATAGCATGTTGTGTCACTGAAGTTGTGTTACTGACATTCCAACTTCATACCTTTACAAAAGCCATCTTTTCGATGTGCTTGCATCTTTTGGCAACGATTTTCCTTTTAAAATTTATTGTTGACAGCCATCCGCTATATCATTTCTGGATTGTTTTCGGAATTTTTTCGGTGCCTGCTATGCTAATTGCTTGCTTGAACCCATGTATGAATTTTAAATTGAAAGAACACTGCTGATAAATTATATCAATTTGGGGAGTTTCTACGGTCCTCGGTTACATACATAACCACCAGGTAAATGTGCCAGATGAATGCCGAGGTCTTTTATCTGTCCGACTATACGCATATATTGCATATAATATAATGACTTCTTACCTTTCTTCTGCTTATTCTGACTGCTACTGTCATAATGATATCATTACGATTAATAATGCCGGTGTATCCGAAAAAAACGCTTGATGACTCGACAAGTGGTGCAATGCTAATAAGACTCTCCCGACTAATGACTTCGAAAATGGTGATTTCAAACATGGCTTGATAATAACTGAAGTTCCAAATAAAATATGAGATTTATCACTAACTTCCCCTATGTGTCTCCGCCGGGCACATCGCCTTAACAAGCAAAGATATCAACAGGACGGGGGTATTGCATTCCGCGACTGTGAAATGCCGCTCCAAGTAACTTGGCCTACAGTTGTGGTTCCCCAGCAGTAAAGGGGGGCGGGGATGGCTGTAGTTGTGGGTCTTTATATCCCAGTGAATTAGATTGCGCTTGGGAAGTTGAGTCGGGTAGGAAATGTCAGTTGGCAGCAAGTTTATACGATGCTTCAATGTTTTTTAATAGAGTGAAAAATAGTAGTCAAGTCCACGACCTCTCTGTTTCTTGAATGTATGAATTTTGACCATTGTTGTGAAGTGCAAATTGAAAGTTGCATGTCACGTGACTGAGGTATATTAGGAACGTAAAGAGCTTTCTCTTGAATTAAGTTTGGATTCCATATGCATAAGGATCCTAACGTTCATGGAGGTTCATTTAATACCCATGTTTTACTGTGTTTCCAGAAGCGTTATTAGTTTTCCACGTATTTGGCGGAATCACGGAAAATATCTTTATATATCTATTGGCGGCTTAGTCTTGGAAGATAGCGAAGATCAGCTGATTGATGTTGTCACTTTAGAAATACTATTCGTTTGAAAGACCCTGCTTGTATAGGACTAACTGTTTAGTTTTTCTAAGGAAACAATGACGACGAAGCGACGGAATCACGGACGTAACAAAAAAGGCCGTGGGCACGTAAGACCCATTCGCTGCACAAATTGTGGTCGCTGTGCACCCAAGGATAAGGCTATCAAGAAATTTGTTGTTCGCAATATTGTGGAAGCAGCTGCTGTCCGAGACATTTCCGATGCATCTGCCTATGATTGTACGTTTTTTTTTACAGTATTTCCCTTCTTACCGATTTGTACATATGCTAAAGTGCTAAAAAAAACACTGTTTTGCCAGCGTTTATCTGCTACTGTTTTGGATAGAATACGTTTATTCGAAATTTCGTAGATGTTGAAGTGTGCAAAATTTGAATGAGAGAGATTCTGTATGCACAACGTAGTGGAAATTCATCGATCTTTGGTGGAAGCAGGGAGTAATGATGAGTTTATTTTAATTGTTTCTAATATTATTTCCTACTGCGAGATTTCAGCCTATGCGTTGCCAAAATTATATCACAAGCTGCACTACTGTGTATCCTGCGCAATCCACAGTAAAGTAGTGCGCAATCGTTCACGCGAAGCACGCAAGGACCGCAACCCACCTCCACGTTTCGGTCAGCGCGGCGGCATTGTTGGGGATCGTTTTCCGCGACCAGGTGTTCCAAATCGACAGTGAATCGGAGTTCTCTCATAAGAAGCTTAAGATTCGTTTGTGTTTGTTGTAATGTTAATACGAACACTCAATGAAGAGTTCTTATTATTGGACTAAAGAGTTCTTGATATGGTCTATAGTATAAAAGTTTGGATAAATTCTGTTCCGAGAACATTTGAGTTCCTTCTCACTTTTTGCATATTCCTGAGATAACGCTTCAACTAAATCTATATTTAAGTAAAGTGATTTTGTTTTTTGCACTTTAAGTTAAAAACTTGATAAAATTCAGATTTGGCGGAAGTTGCTTTTTATATAGTCGGATGGCTTGAAAGGACATACTTTTACAATTTCCGGATAAGTTTTGGGAAATGCTTTCATAGAATTTCGTTTTTTATTCTCTCGAAGCTTTTTCGATATTCACGCAGACATTCTTGTCGGGGAATCCATGCCGATCGCTACTTATTTTGAATTCGACCATTAATTCATAAATGTGGTTTGGGTTGGCCTTCTAAGAAGCCTTCTAAAGTGGGCTGTGGTCTATAAAAGTTCTGGAGAGCAAAGCCCTTAATGCAAAGAATTAAGCTCATGAAAGTACTGACTATACCTCTGCATCCATTTTAACCTATGAAATGGTCAACTAAGTGCATTCCCTTGGAGTCTTGACTGATTCATCGGTTTACAGTTACTGGTTTAGCGGAAAGTCTTGAACTTATAATTTTACGGAGACGCTGTCAGCTATACATGGTTTTATTGGGAAATAAATCAGGAGTTAAATGGCAAGTTCGAACTGGGGAGAGTGTATTATTATTGTTAGGACAATAAGTGAAGGGAATTTGCTCGACATTTCAGACAACCGGAATTGTCGGGTTAAAATTTTAGACGTTCCTGACGATTTTTGTAGTTTTCTATACACGTACGGACTGATGTGGTTCTAACTGTAGTTTATATGTTGAAAGAAAGACGTTATGGGGCGCTGATTCCACTGTTAAATCGTTCCGTTCATCTTCATCGGTTCTTTTAACCTATAATGAAAGCCCAAGTACATCAAATATGAAAATATTGCATTGTTGTATAAAAATTTCCCCACTAACGATCGATTATCGTTCAGTTGGAAATTAATGAGGTTCGGACATTCCATTCCGGAGAAATTCTTTTGTTGTCGAACTTGTAATATGAGCAGAAATCAAAGAATAAGCAACCCTTCTGATTTTAGTTTAAATTGGAAAAAATGGAACCTGACAATTAAACTAAGTTAAAGGAAAAATCATGCCATCACAGCAACAATTTCCACGGAATAGCAGTATTTGAAGGATTTTGAAATCTATGTCGATCGCTACTAATTTTGATATCCATAGGATTTTGTTAAATTTACAATTATTATGTACTTTTTACTAAGCTGAAAGAGCTCTCATTATAATATTAAATAAAGATAAGCTTACTTTAGGACTTGATGTGGGTAATGAAATGCGTCGATTTTTAATAATCATTTTGTCGCTTGATTTTTTACCACCTTTCCGTCTACTAATGTGTGGATTATCTTGATACAAATTTTTGAGTTTGTACATTCTCAACTGCGTATAGACTCGCTTCAATTCAGCCTAAATTAATAACTGACACATCGAAATACGCGGAACTATCTTTTTCATAAAATCCGACCACATGTTGTTTGCAAGCAGAAATATGTCTCAGAAGCTTTAAAACATGACCGGAATACATTATCGGTTTTGGCCTCCTAAGAAAAAGGGATCCAGTTACCTGGTTCCTTATTCCTTTTATGCGCAATGACCGGCCATTAAATGAAATAGAATAGTTCTCCAAATGATATCACGAGTCTCAGGAGTACGTAGCTGCATTCAGCTTGCACTTGCACTCGTAATATCACAATATTTTCCGTTGGGAATTTCTTGATGTCGTACACGAATTTCACCCTAACCCAAAAGTGTAGAAACAGTTTGGTTGTCATAGAGAAAATGTATGAATTTCCTGCATTTATGAACGAAATTCTTCAGAAATCTAAAGGGATTTCTCACCCGTATATCTTCTGGATTCATGTCAACTATGGGCACTTCGGCGAAATCAATTGTTCCATTCAATAAATTGTCACGAAGTTTAGCCAACGATGGATGTGCTTTACTGCCAGTACCTACTAGCGTCTGCGTACGCCTTGTGTTGCCGGAGCTAACCTGAAATTTCGAAAATTTCACATCTCATCATAAAATTTTACATCTCATCATAAGGTGTAAAGATCTTTCTTTAAAGTTTGCAATGTAGAGCGAGTTACTGTAAGTTATAACGAATATTTACATCCCAGAGACAAGTCTAAATATGAATAATTTCGACTCGAAGATTCATATACTTAACTGGATTGCAGTAACAATTACTTTCCACCAGTGAAACAAGTTTAGAAAATTTTAATCTGAAATAGAAAATGGTTTGAAATATGAGCTGAAGTTATGTTACAACTGCGGTAAATTTGCAAGGACGCTCATTTTGCTGTATTCAAGAGAATCACCTGTAATATGGTAAAAAGCATTCAGATTTATTTGTTCAGTTATTATTTTGTTTGCTGTTGGCATCTTTCCGCCTTAAATTTCTCTTCTCACTTCCGAGTACTTTGCCCTTCTTTTAGAGAGTTATGAAAACAGAGTTCATCGATGCCAAACGGAAAGGAAGAAAGATGAATTTCCAAGGGGGTGAGAAGTGCCCGAAAGAATACAAGAGTCCAAACTTTTTTTTTCTCATTCAAAGAACAAAAGTGAAAGGAGTAATCGATCAAAAGTTTCCTTTCTTCAACTATCAGTTGTGTCTTGCTTACCGTCTAATTTTTGTAAGATTTTCGAAAATAAGAGTGGATATTCGATTTCTGACCAAATGAAACAAAAAACTAATTATTGTCGAGGAACTAATTTATCCTAAGCTACCTAACTCCGTTGTAAGTTCGGGATTGCTCTTGACCATAATGTTTCTCAGTAATATCAGGAATAAGAACTTTGGGAGAAGTATGCAAGACAGCAAGAGTGCTTAAGAAATAAAAATCCTTAAGGTTCTGTAGGAAATGGCCTATCCCAGAAATGGTCGGAGTTTAATAGCTCTTCGAAAAGAATTTGTGAAAAGGCGTTTCTAGTTAACAATCATATTATTAGATCACTAGGCTAGTGACAGAGGTAGGGATCAAATCTGAACTATTTCTGTACGAAAATTATTTCATATTGGAAGATAGAAGAAATGTATCGATGGAAGAAAAAGCATAACTAACCAAATAAAATTTGGGAGCAATGATAATAACAATATTAATAGAAACAGTCAAATGTAACTGTACAAATGTGATCGTCATCAGTGTGTCGCTGTGTGCCGAATAACGAATAGAATATCTGGAAATGAAGAATGCAGATTCTAAGAAGATCAAAATACGTCAGAATCAACTGATTACCAGGTAATTCTGTGAATTGAAATGGTTTACAGCTATATTCTTATGTATTTATTTGTAAGGGACAAAGCAACAGAAAGCTGCTTTTTTAATAAAATATTCAAATGATATCAAGGAGGACACCACATATTGTTATCAACTTTTCATTATTTTCGCCCAAAATTTGCAAATCGATTTCTGTGTCTCGATTTCAAAGTTAACAGATACAATGACATTCCCAAGAATACCACAAGGATCAAGTGATCGGACGAGGCTATGATGAAAACGGGTGGTATTACCTTACCTTGAGCAGAAAGTCCTTTCCATTTATGTTTAAATTTGATATGGAGTGAGTAAACTCATGGTATATAATTAACCTTATAAAGTTAGTAACCAATGTGACGATTGCTTCCAAACATACAGCCACTGTAAATTGCCATCGTTCTAGCCAACTACTGTTTCGAGCTTTATAACACAACCGCATCCCATAGATTAGAAATAACGATTCATAACCTGCGAAAAAAAAAAAAAAAAAAAAAAACTAGAAATTCAGAACTAACTAAAGCAAGAGAAAAGAAGTAAAATAAAACCACTGTTAAGTACGGACAGTTTCCGTTTTTATCCGCCATTCGTACAAAGATAGCATTTGTTTTTCGATTATCAGTTGTGGAAAGGAGCAGAAATGTCATTTTCTTGAAAAGCGAAGAATGAGTAAAATTAAGGAGAAATCAAATTCAGTTGAGTTCCACAAGTAAAGCAAATATATATAGTTCTTTTTAATACATTTAACCTATATCCATTTATCTGCAAAAGAAGGTGATCACACCTTGCCAAGCCAAACACCATGCCTGTATGGGACATTGTGGCCATGCACTTTTCCAAAGTTCCTGATCGGCAAATGAACCGAGCGTCCAAGCGATAAGTCCGGTTAATGTCAGTGCTAAGAGATATGCCAAATATTTCATCAGATCTTCTTCTTTCACAATAACATGATGAGCCTTACGTACACGATATTCTTGTAAATTCCTTTAACTAATTTCTATTAAAGGATTGATTTTATTGGATAAATTAGTAGTAGCAAAAACAAAGTGTTCACAGCTTCTTTTATAATCGCTCTGAATTTCACACAATTCACTTTTGAACTTAATTACTTGGATCCAATGAGCTCTAGGAAACCTTGTAGAAAACCTTAATTATGCGGAACTTTTAAATTCTAAAACAAATAAAGATAAAAGCATAAAATACTTCAGCGAATTTCTCAAAATTTAAATTTTTACTCAATAGGGAACCAGAAATTTGCATAGTAAATAAAACCGAAACCGGAAATCTGAGACTTATTTGCCAAACATTCATATTCAACTGAAAGCTTAATTAATCAGTTATTTTTTGTTTGCCTCCCGAAATCACTTTACTTGATAGAGCTAATGATTTATATCAATTCAGCAATATTTGGGAGGGATTTTTGGGACTTCTTGAAATCTGCTTGAAAATTTATTCAATCCGTGATTTTTCTTTCAAGTTACACATAATACCTATAAATTTTCAGAACGATTGACCCATAGAACGTCGAAAAACCAATTTGACGCAGCCAAACCGCAAAACAGCACGTCGATGTAGCTGAATTAGACCAATCCAGCAATAACTGCAACAAAATTCATGCGAATAAAGCAAATCAACATTTCACGTTCTTTATTTTTTTATTTCTGTTCCCAAAAATAACTCAAAAAACATTTTATTTTTTAAATTTCGTGCAAATTTAAGAAATAGTATTATTAATTTCGGTCCGTCATTTTTGTGCAAGAAGTTTTATCAAACTTACAACGGCATATAACATAGCAGCACCAAGAAGGAAAATTTCCATTAACGCCCAGCCACGTGCTTCACGATGCCTGCGTCGTTCTCGGATAACGACCGATATGAGTAAAATGCAAACTGTTGAACATAATCCATTGAAAACCACCAAAATACTGCGATCCTGCTCCGCAGCATCACGACATAAAGATGTGTCATTGGTACAGCACTTACGGGCGTAAATCCGCATACCACCATGTCTTGTCCATGTACACTATAACGACAAAAAAATAACTCGGTATTTTCTATATTTCAACTGATAATTTATGTTACAAAGCAATTAGAATAGCTGAACCATGAAAGAAGATGATCATTTTTCAAAGTTAATTTGAACAAATAAAAGAAGAAATGAAGTAATCCAATTACAGTACTGTAAATGCTCAGATAAAAGAAAATGCTCACATTTTATGATTATTCTCTTTTATTTCAATGGAAATTTAATAACTGTAATATAAGTGAAGTTTTCTACCAAAGGATGGAGAAATAAAGAAATATGAGAAGTGTCAAAATGAAAGTAATTATCCCTCATGAAGGAAGAAAGGGTGGATAATGACGAATGACAGTAAAGAATGAACATAAACAGGAAGGACTTCAATGGACATCAACCAACTCAAAAAATAGTTGGACATAAACGGGAAGAAATTACTGTGAATGAAACAGTTCTCGATTTTCGCAAGCAGCAAATTAGTTTCGAAGCGTTTTCCTATAATGACAAATTCGATTCTTATTTTTTCAACTCGATTTTTTTGTTTTTTACCAAAGGATGGAGAAATAAAGAAATATGAGAAAAGATTTCCTTCCTTTTCTACCAGAATCTTTATCAGCATTGATCTGAATACAGGTTTCACTGGAAGAAGAAAGAAATCAATCAGTAATAGAAAAATTTAATAATCACTGATTTCAAATTCTCGCCATTTCCATCGGAAATCTTCCAACTTTAAACAAAGAAATCACTCACTGAAATCAATAAACATATTCTCCTCTATGTTTTGCGAAAAAGGATATGTGCTGTTTGTGTTATTAACTCCTTGTTACTGGATAAGGAAATATCTAAGAAATGAGTAAAGAAAAAAATGAAATCAGGGAAGAAGCAAAAAAATAAGTTAAAAAAATGTAGAAGGTCAATTCTCGATCTGCTAAGTCACAGCAAGTGAATAACAGATAAGTAACAAGTAGATAGAGTAAAGATGTGTCATTCACTCAGCACAGCGATCGTCTCAATGATGAACATTACATTAGCTGGTTTGCATGTTGATAAAGCAATGCAGGAGAATGTTTTCCCGACTTTCATGATATCCCGGGACTAGCAGAAAATGGAGTTAGTGAAGATTTGTTTAATAACTCGTAGTACATTAAAGTTGCAAATAACAAACTGAAATGACTACAAACACACTTTATAAAATTGAAGTCCACCATTATGTAGCAATGCTTTCCAATAACTTAAATGTTAGAAATTTTGAGAAAGACAAAAATGTTAATGAAAAAAGAAACACATAGCCTCTCTTGTATATATCTTCTTTTGTATTGTCTCGGTGATATCTCAAATTTCACTGGCAAAGCAACTTCTTTGAAATATATACAAGCAATAAAGGTTTTTAAAGAAGAAATTCAAGAAAAAATTTTGGAAAACAACAAATTCAACAAAATAAGGACGAAAAAAGTGGAGTTGATATATTTCAAAGTGGTGGGTAGAAAAGTTCAAATTAAGCCAGATTGAGTAAAGGAAGTTAGAGTTAGGTTGAACAAGTTGAAAATTGTTTCATAATCATTTCCTAGTGAGAAGGTAGGTACTGATTGATTACATTAATTGATAAAATATAAAAAAAAACAATTTTAGTTTTTTAGAATAAATCAGTAGTCTTTAGAAATTTTTTTTCATATTTATGGCAATTGCTGATCTCTTCACCGCACATCTTTTAACAATTTATTCAGCTAAGAGCTAAACGGAAACAAATGAGATGTGACATTGCTTTAGTCAATCTTACTTGAGTGAGGCTTGATGACTTTAACAAATGTCAACACAACTTACTCACAAAACATTCCTTAATAGTCTTGAGGCAAAAATTCTCCTTCAACAATACTAAGCTAGTTTGTTCTTTTGATCAAATAATTGGAATGAAATATTTCACTCGAAAAATAATAATTATCTTAAATAACCTTTGTATTGCTGCATTGAGGTAAAGTACAAGCGTTTAGATCAAATGGTTGCAGACGTACGGTTAGATAAAATTCCAAAGCAGAAGTTGGATAAATAAGCAATGGAATCCATTGTTGTGACAAGTCATCCCCTACTTGGCTGCAGTGTAGTTGTAAGACAAACAATGGTGACGACAGGTTATAGGCCAACGGCGAATCCAAGATTAGGGAAGCATTTGCAGGAAGATGAAGTAGATGTGAGTGAGGATTCTCAGCGATCAACTGCGCCAGCAGTAAAAGTTGTGGATTGCTGCGCTTCAATTCATGTTCCAATAAGTGATGCAAATTTGGTAATGCGAGAAAGTTTTCACAATTCTCTTCCTCAGTATGCTCCAGTTGTTTTAGCAAAGCTGGGAACGTTGCTGAATGTGCGCCTTTCAGATCATTTGGAAAGCTGGGCGGAGAAGGTTGAATGGATGGCGGTAATGAAGTGATGATGGGAATACCATCCACCAAAAGTAGCACTACTACTGAGGAGAGAGTTGAGAGTAATAATAATAACATAAATTCGTCGTCCAAATCTTTGATTAAATCTACAAAGAGGACTTGTTTAGTAGAATAGATGAAGGAATACGAACAAGGATGATTGTAGTTGTGATTGATATAGCAACAACAAATGTTGCAAGAGTGAAGACAACAGTGGGCAGTAATGATGATGAGAGAGTAATGGTGATGATGAAGATGTTATGATAGTGATTGTAATGATAATAACAGGTGATAGCAGATGGTATTAATAGTAGTAGTGATGCTAATTAATGACCATTAACATGAAAGAATGAAAAATACTTCGGTGTGAATTGAGCTTTGTTTGATTATTCTTGAGAGAAGAAAGTCGCACTATCTGGCAGCAGCACTTCTCATCAATTACATCAATAAAAGTAGAAACACTGTAGTAGTATCAGTGCAGATGAAGTCATAGAAGCGTCTCTTTTCATCCAAAACAACACATCAATCTCTCTTTACACGTCTTTTTTTTTTTTGCAAAAGACACACAACAGATGTAGCTTAGTAGTAGCTAACATAAAGCATCAGCGGCAGTATTAACAGTAGTTAGACGAAAGAAGTAGTGCTACACTCATCTTTCAGTAGCACTTACACTGAAGAAAGTAGGGAACATTTGTCACTGCCATTATGGAACTCTTCACGGAAGAAGAAGAAGTCTCGTATCCTCAATCATGCAGAGAAGAAACTGTTTTTATCAACAAGCAGAAAAGAAGAAGGCAGAAAAAGGTTTACCTGCGCTTTGTCAACTTCTAAGCATCGATCTGTATGATTTTATATATATGTGCATGTGTGTAAGTGTAAGTGTAAGTCTAATCCATCGAGTGTCTAGCAGAATGATGGCTAGTCTGTTTGCTTCATTTCGATTTCACTTTTGGTGGAGATGGAGAGAGGAATGGAGATGGACATGCATAAATTGCTACTCGCTGGCGACTTCCAGTACTTCAATCCCGTTTACACTAGGACAAACAATTATGAATGGATGAGGATGATGATAATGATAATGATGATAATATTGATAATGATAATGATGATGATGATAATGATGATGATGGTGCAGCGAGAAGCAGTTTCTGGCTCTCCTTCAACATCATCTCGTCTTAAGCACTGCAGCAGTAGCAGCAGCAGTAGCGCAACACAGTAGCATTATGGAGTATAGTACTGCATTGCATTGCAGACTGAAGTCCTTTGGGGTGCATCTTACAGCATCGTGTGGTATGACATGTTCATCATCTGCTTTATCCTGCTTCTTCTTTCTCTCCCATATATAAACATCTTACCAACTGGGATTAAAATATAGCGGGAGCTAAAGCATTAGGCAGGTTAAAATGTTCGTCCAAGAAGACTCTTACCGCTATAGCTTCCCTCTTTTAATTATTCCTAAGTATTTATTATTATTATTATTATTATTATTATTATTATTATTATTATTATTATTATTATTATTATTATTATTATTATTATTATTATTA